ATCAAGGGAATAAAAGGCAATAGAGAAAAAAGGAGTGTAAAAAAGAAAACCAAGTCATTTATAAAATCTCACTTTTTATTGGTTGTTTTGTTGCATATACCACGTCTTTTTTTTTTCTTCGAGAGTCACAAACACAATTTAGAATCGAATTTATTTGCAAGATCTTCTTATATATTATCATCATATTATATACAGAAATAATATCAAATAATGTTTTCATACAACAGTGATGTTCCATATTTATTCATGATAAGTTTGTTCATTCGTCCAACACTAATAGTGATTTTACTTCTACTTCTTGTTATCTATTTATATAAGATTAACAAAATTTATTATACATTTGAAGAAATGGGTCTACCAGGACCAACTCCACGTTTCTTTTTTGGTAATTTAATTGAGTTATTCACTCATAGTCGACATTCAGCGGCTTGTTTAGCAGATTGGACAAGAGAATATGGAAAAATTTTTGGATATTATATTGGTCATACACCTGTTATATGTGTTTCTGATCCAGATTTACTTCAAGAAATATTTATAACTAAATTTAGTCATTTTCATTCACGACGGCCGCTTCCATTACAACAACATCATCTTAGACATTTATTGGCATCGAAAGGTAAGCAAAAAACTTTGTTCAAGTCCTAGGATGTTGAGAAAAATTCCAAATTGATCTTGTTTATGAAAAAAACTAACCGGAATAAGTATATCGAGATTGTTTTTTTATGTATTTTACCTTTTTAACTAGCACAGAAATAATTTCAAATGATTGACTATGCTTTGAATATATGCATCGTCTATATTATTTGATTATTAAGTAAAATCTACAGTTTTCTATTCGAGATTAATATATTAACAAACGAAGGTTTCTACATGTGAACTCTAATCCGTTCATAGCAAAGTTTTTTTCTTAATAAAACATTAGCTTAGATGATGAATGGAAAAGACAACGTTCAATAATTCAGCCAACATTTAGTTCAAGTAAATTAAAAGAAATGCGAACAATAATTGATCAATGTATTACTGAACTAATTGAACAATTAGATCAACAAAAACCCAATGTTGATTTTAATATATCAAGTTTATTTAAACGTACATCAATGAATATTCTTCTAAATTGCGCATTCGGCATTAATTCAAATACACATGAAAAATTAAGTGAATCATTTTTTCAACGATGTTTACAAGTATTTGAATTTAATATGTTTCAAAGTATTTTAACAACATGTTCAATACTTTTACCAGAATTAAATTGTTTATGGGTTACATGTTTTAAATATACAAATATATTTCGTTTATGGTTATGTGATCATATACCATTTATGAATCGTTTTATTGATACTGATCCAAATACATGGCTTTTGTACCATGTTGAAAGTATAATTAAACAACGTTGTTTAAATGGAATAGAAAGAATTGATTTATTGCAATCAATGATTGATGCAACAGATGTTTTTCAAAAAATATCTTATGTAAATTGTTTAAAATTTTTTTTTTCTTGTTTTTCTTTATAATGATATTTTTTTTTCTAGTCATCGAAATTATCAAAATATCGTTTAAAACTAGATGAGTTATTAAATAATATTTATTTATTTATGCTTGGTGGATATGAAACAACAGCAACCGCCCTTGGTTACCTTGCATTTATATTAGCAACACATCAACATGAACAAGCACGTTTACAGAATGAAATCGATGATGTTCATGATGATTATGAACAAATAATTAAACTTGATTATCTCGATTGGTTTATACGCGAAACTTTACGATTATATCCTATTGCACCATTTATTGTTAATCGACAATGTAATAAATCATGTCGAATAGGTCAACTTGAAATTGAAGAGGGTACAAATTTTACAGTTGATATGTATAGTATACATTATAATGAAAAATTATATGGTCCAGTAAGTCCATCAAAATTTTATCCTGAGCGTTTTCAAGAAAAACGTCATCCATTAGCTTGGTTACCATTTGGAGTTGGACCAAGAAATTGTGTTGGAATGCGTTTTGCAATGTTAGAAATTAAATTAGCATTGGTACAGATTCTTCGTCGATATACAATTTTATCCGGTGAACATACATTGAGTCAATTTGCTGAACACGAACGATTTGTTATTGCACCAAAAAATGGTGTTTGGATTCGTTTACAACGGCGTAGTAGTCAAATAAGAGAATGTAACTATTTCAATAATTGATTTAACGTGTTATCACACGAAAATCTATGATGTGATCAGAAAATAATTAATAAATGTAATGATCAGTTTTGTTTCTTTTTCTTTTTCTTTTTTAATAAATGATTTCACAGTGAAAATAATATACTGTATTTATTATATAGGTCATACTGATTCAAAGTATTAAAAAAAGGAATGAGTATTTTGAATGTGTGATTATATACAAGTATCACCAGATGATGTACCGCAATGGTATTCATATTATGTATTTATGTTAGAGCATACCGAGATGTGAAATTGTTTCGATGTTATCTATGAAAGAATTTTATTCAATGATTTGAATAGATGGCATTTTTTTTTTTCATTCGATTCTGTTTATCTTAAGAGTAACGCCCTAAAAATAATATAGAATCTTTCAAAAATCAACGCGTAATGTGAACATTTTTTTGCGATAGTTTATGCTTCTTTTTCCGTAGTAAAATGTTGTATTGACCTTTTATTTATTTATTTTTTTATTGCTTTCTGTTGCACTAGTGAAAATCTTTTAGAAATAAAGTTCCAATCGTGATATCAGTCATGTTTTTGTTGTTTTCTTTTTAGAGATCGAATTCTAATCGAAAGAAAATACTTGAAATAATTTTTGCAAAAGAAATATTAGTTTAGCAAAAAATTTAAAATGGAAATAAAATGTGTTTTTCTTATGAAACCTTGAACTAATAAAAAAAAAAAAAATATTCATTGACGTCAATTATTTACTGCCTTTTTCTCATCATTCGTCACCTGACGCAAAGTTTTGAAAGCCAAATAATTTTTCTTCATGTACTGTAAAACCTTTTTGAAATCAATGGAGAGCCTTACTGCGCACAACATAAATTGACTACGCCTTCTCCGCTCTCTCTTCCAATATATCGAATTTCGTCAGAAAAATGGAAGGCAGTGATGTTGATATTTCTGTCGAAATTTTTTTTCGTTTCATTATCTTTTATCGGGAGTGTCCGGTGTATATAGAGGTATTACATCACAACTTCGACGTTTTTCGTCTTAGCAAAACAATTAATACTTTAAAAAAAGAATTGCTATCAACGAATATTGACCCTTCTATTATATTGTAACTTAAATCTCATCTTTAATTGCATGAATAATGACTAAATCTCTATCGTAAATATAAGTAAAGATTCTCTAGAGAATAAAAAATAAAAACATCTTAAAACAATAAATTAACGAGTGTTGCCTCTATCATTAAAAAAAATGCTCACTTACACAATTATTTTTTAGCATACAAAAAAAATACTGTTTAATCTATTACTTTACAATAATTTTTTTTTTTAAAGTGGCGTTTCTATGATCAGTGTAGCTTTATACAGTCTATCAAAATAATTAAAAAAAAGTGATGATACTTATAACTATGGTTCGAACTTTTGAAGAGACAAAGTCTACGTAGTAACTAAAGAAGATGGTATTATACTCCTAGTCAATTTTTCTTGCTTCATTTTATTTTATATCACCAACATATAACAGCATATAAAATAACAAATATGAAAGAGACAAGAACTATTTTTTTCAAGTTAATAATTAATTTTTTTTCACATTGAATATTTCGAAAACATCACTATGTTCATTCTCAGCATAACCAGCGAAATCTCATAATAGTTATTTGAATTTTTGAAGTTTAACGTAATAAGAAAATTGTGAAATAACATCAATCTGAAGAAACATTAATCATTAACTGGAAAAAGAATGTTTCTTTTTATATTTGTATTATTATATGTTGTTATATATTGTTGAACTTTAACATTAAATTCAAAAAACTCTATAATTCTATTATTATGTTAAAATATCGTATCACGAATATTAAAATTTTTAACACAAACGTTAGACTTTTCAGTGTTATTAAAAAAAAAGATAAAAGATTCCCGCATAGTGTACAGTATATACACTATTCAGATCGGATAATTATTAATAAACTGATCATTCTAAACAAATGCCCTGTTGTATTTTTCATTTTTCAGAAATCTTTTGACAAAGTTAGTATAACAATTGTAGAAAAATTTAGTTCACAAATTCTGATTGAAATATCAAATAGTTGATATGACAGATATTATTTCAAATGGATAACTTCTAAAGAAAATGAAACACAAATATCCGCCAGAGCAGGGCTGGCCCAAGTCAGCAAACATTGGAGGGTTGTCACGATTTTTTCGGGGTTATTCCGGATTTGGTATTGGTTTAGCTGGTGTTCCACTGGTAACATTAAAGCTGATGTTCCCCCTCATCAAAAGTGTTCCACTATGTAACTTTAAAGTTACATAGTGGAACACTTTTGATGAGGGGACCACCAGCTTTAATGTTACCAGTGGAACACCAGCTAAACCATTACCCGGATTTTTGTAATGCGAATAAAATTTTTTTCTAATAGAACGCTAGAAAAAAATTTCATTTTTGTTGGGGAAAAACGAAAATTTTCGATTATTGGCGATTGTCACAACCCCTAGTCGGACCAGCCCTGCTCCAGAGACTCTCTATAGATGTTAACTGAAACGAAAATATTATTCATCCATGACTTGTTCATTAGACGTAGTCTAAATATATGTTAGAATATATTTGTATTTATTTCTTTCTCTAAAGACGAAATCTCTTTCAAAATATCGATTCAATCATAAGTGACATCTATGAGACGTTCTTTGTATATTTCAATTTCGCGCTTTATTCTATATTGCCGTCGAAGATGATTAATCTTTAGAGAAAACATTCGTCTGTAATCACGTTTATTTTTTACAGCTTTTCTTTTTCCTTTTTTTTAATTCTAAAATTGATGACATAAAACTCATAATGAGTGAAAGATCACAATCATTCAATGGTTCAGATAAACATGTTCAAGTTATAGCTCGACCACGGTTTGATTTTATTCGAGTTTTTTTTTTGTTTTTTTGTTTTATTAAAAGTATTTTATTAGTCCATTGAATGATAATGAAAAATCTCAAAATTTAACGAGTTGTTTAAATATAAATGAAACACGTCGAGAAATCATTGTTAATTGTAAAACAAGTACAACACGTTTTTTTAATTATGATCATGTAATATTTTTTTTATTTGAATTTAAAAAACAAAAAAGAATCAACAAATTTCATTATAATTAATATTTATTCAGGTGTTTGGTTTTCAAACACGTCAACAAGATGTTTATAAAGTAGTTGTTGCACCTATTGTTGATGAAGTACTTAAAGGTTATAGTTCAACTATATTTGCGTATGTTCATTTTTATTTTATTATTTGAAATCAAGGCAAATTTACTTATTTTTTTTTTTTTATAGTTATGGTCAAACAGGATCTGGGTATGTTTAGTGTTTTGTCTGTATATGATTTGTTTTATTTATTTATTCTATTTAAGTAAAACACATACAATGTTAGGAAAATTTCCAATGGATAAAACATCAAAAGATACTGTTAGTACTTATATGACAATGCTTGAATCAGAAACTGGTATTATGCCAAGAGCTATTCATCATATATTTCAAGGACTTCAACGTCAAGTACGCATGAAATATCATTCGCATATAAAAGAAAATTTTGTTTTTTTATTTTTTATTTAGTATATTGATTATACAGTTAAAATTACTTTTCTTGAATTATATAATGAAGAATTAACTGATTTATTAGCTGATGTAACAAATGAACAACCTGAAAAAATAAAAATTTATGAAGATAAAGATAAAGTAGATTTTTTTTTGCAAGAAATATTAAATTTTGAAAATATTTCATGTTTAGACAAATACAATAATTGGTGCTACTGAAGCAATATGTGAAACACCATTTGATGCTCTTAAAGTATTAATTAAAGGTGCACAACGTCGACAAACAGCAGAAACATTAATGAATGCATCATCAAGGTTATTTAAAAATACAGATAATTGTTATTCTGTCGATTAAATTGTATAGAAAATAATTCGAGAAAAACAAACGAAGTTACTTAATTAAGCAAGCAATAGTAAACATTTTCAGAATAATATTAGAGAAACATTTATAGAAATCACTACATCTTTATTTTATTATTTTGAAATAAAACTATCGATTTTATTTAACTTGAGAGAACTTGGTTATTTAACTGGCAGTATCATTACTTTACACAACTCAAAATCTTTCTAACAGATTGAGTTTATGAGATAATCATTTTGAAAATGTTCATTGACAATTGAATTCTTGTTTGATCATTAAATAAATCCTACTATCGTTCTCGATTTATTCTCAATACAATACTGAAAGATTTTTTTATTTTTAATCTGTATTATTAAAATATTTTCATTTTTTCTTTTTATTCTAGTCGATCTCATTCAATTTTTACAATGACTGTAACAATGAAAGATGCTCAAGGAGATATGAGATTAGGCAAACTTCATTTAGTTTGTTTATTTTATATTTATATTGATTTAATTTAATAGTTAATTGTTCTGTTTTTTTGTTAGGTTGATTTAGCTGGTTCAGAAAACATATCTCGTTCAGGTGCAACTGATAAACGTGCTCGTGAAGCTGGAACAATAAATCAAAGTTTATTAACACTTGGACGTGTTATAACAGCATTAATTTCAAATGAAAAACATATTTGCTATCGGTAAAAAACGAAAAAGAAATGCGAATAGTGCTTTAACATTTCAAGAAATTAACTTTAAGCTTTTCTGATTTTGTAAAGTTTTACAGAATATATATACTTAGTAATATCAGAATCCTAATAGTTGCATCAAACAATAATTTTGAGTTTATATATGGTGGTAAAACGAAAAGTCATTTGAAGAATTTTTTAAAGCTATCTTTTAACTCGTTTTATGAAATTAGTGTTGTAGCATATCGATCACATTTTGAAAGTTATAAAGTAATGAGAAACAAAAAAAGTCGATCAACTTCATGTTGTTTGAAAAAGTGAACTAACATCATGTATTCAATTTATCACAAAAATTTGTTCAAAAACATACTTGCATTATGTTAAGTTAATACTTAATACGGTTTTTCAGCTACTATCAAATTCACGTGTTGTTCCATTTTAATTTCTTACCGACCGTGCCCGTATATATGGGCGTGGCCAGCCGACCTGATACCCCATAGGAAATAATATTATTCCAGGAAGAGTATATAATGAATTTTATACCAATGAAAGCTCGTCAAAAATGGGATTTATTGGTACTAAATAGTAAGCGTTTTGTGAACTTTGTAATATCGAACTTAAGAAATTTTGAGAAATTTTATACGTTTTTGGCATAGAAAACTAAAATGTCAGTAATTCAAAAATGTAGTAAAAATTTTTTTCTGGAATATTTTTACATGATTCGATAGAGCTCGTCGAACGCCACAAAACTGTATTATTTTTGAAAAATGGCGTAAAAAACTTCAATACATACAGTTTTGTAGCGTTCGATGAGCTCTATCGAAATTCTTGACATCTTAGTTTTCTATGCCAAAAACGTATGATATTTCTCAAAATTTCATAAGTTCGATATTACAAAGTTCACAAAGCGCTTACTATTTAGTACCAATAAATCCCATTTTTGACGAGCTTCCATTTGGTATCAAATTCATTATATACTCTTCCTGGAATAATATTATTTCCTATGGGGTATCAGGTCGGTTGGCCACACCCATATATAAGGGATTGAAATGTAACTAAGAGAAAAAGGTCTTAGATGCAGTTAAACTGGATTTTTTTGTACGGTTTTTTGTTGACAATAAACGTGTTATATAAATAGACGTTATGGGATAGTTTAAGTATGTATATGTCAGCGTTCAAACTGAGATTACGTCCAATCTCAGATTGGCCTAGGCGAATGTCGGATCCGAGATTGGACGCGTCCAATCTCGGATTGACGCAATTCTGTTCATTAAAATATCAATTACCCTGTAGACAGACCTTGGATTCGAACTATTTTTATTGAGTTATGTTCATACGATGCCAGTTTGTTTGGCACAATTGTCATTTGACAAATTTGAATAAAATTTTAAGAGTTATGAATAAATTTCTAGAGAACAAGAACTTTTGTGAAAAACTTTTATTACATTTTTGAGTCTAAATTTAGCTTCTTCCTAAATGCTTGTAATACTTAAAACGGCATTGTGTGAACATAATTTCAAAAAATAGTTTGAATCCAAGGTCTGTCTACAGGGTAATTGATATTTTAATGAACAGAATTGCGTCAATACGAGATTGGACGCGTCCAATCTCGGATCCGACATTCGCCTAGGCCAATCTGAGATTGGACGTAATCTCAGTTTGGACGCTGACATATATATAGCTCTGTATATTCCTTCATCGCTCATTGTACATTCTAGGTAATCTATCTTAAGATACTATTATTAGTCGGTGTGGAACCCATGATTGTATTTGTAGTTATGGCACGTTGTAGAGCACGTGCCATAGGAGAGGATGTGCATGATGTTGCTTTATTCTACTGTGTGTTTTTAGGTTTTTTTCTTGACTTCCTTTTCACATGTTATTGTATTGGGTTGTTATTTTCCTCGAATATGTGTTTTGTTTTTCTTGTTTGAAAATAAACACCTTGGGCCTTTCATACTAGGTCTCGATGAAAAAATTATGTAAATACCCTTCAACGATATTTGTTTTTTTTTCATCGAAAATCAAGGTTTTTTTCTGTAAAAAAAAGTCGATCCGTAAAGGGTTAAAAATCTTTGATAGATGTACATATTAGTAAAGATAAGACCATATTCTGAGCATCATAAGCTATTACATATTTACATGCATTTTTCTTCTTAAACTAAGCGATTTGATACTGATTCTATATGTTATTTATTTAATCGACGATGGCTCAATTGTTGGGAACTCCTTGTCGCCTATAAAAATGTGCTTGATCAAGGTTTTTGGTTCCAATCGAAAGAGAATTATTTCAGAACTTATTCGTATTGCATCTAACGTAATCTTTCAATTTTCTTTCTTTTTTCCTCATAGTCGCTTGCATCTCTAATCTTGTCAGCTTTTGGAATACATTGTATATGAATTATTTTTAGTGATTCAAAATTAACAAGAATTTTACAAGATTCACTATGTGGAAAAACAATAACTTCGATTATAATAACCCTTTCACCAGCAAATGAAACAGTATGTTAAGAATTATTTTTGAAAAATTTATTTTAAAGAATTTATAGGAAACTCTAAGTACACTTGAATATGGTCATCGAGCTCGTTCATTAAAAATTCGTCCGGAAATTAATCAATTATCATCGAAAGATGTTGCTCGAGTATATCATTAAGTCATTATTATTTTGTTTTACTTTTTCTTTTAATAAAAATATTTTATAGGAATATATCGATGAAATTCGTCGTTTACGTCAAGAACTTGATGCTAAACGAGAAGCTGATGGTATACCTTATTCACAATATTTGTAAGAATAGTTTTTTTTTTTTTAATTTTTTATTTACCAAAAAAATAAATATTATGTTTAAGAGCTTTAAAAAATCAAATGACATTAGTACAAACATTATCAGATAATAATCAAGCTAAATTAAATAATAATGAACAACAAATTGAACAAGTAAAATATTTTCTTATATTTTTTTTTTTAAATTTTCTTGTTTAGTATCGAACAGAAATTGAATCACTTCATCGACAACTAACAATACAACAACAAGTATGTAATTTCTATTAATATAATTGCTATATATATATTTCAAGGAATATTTCTTTTATCTAGGAATTAAGGTTAGAAATGAATGAACGAAAAGAAATATTAGCATTAAATCGACATCGACATGATGAACTTATTCAAATGACTAATAAAGCTTTGACAGTAAAATGATTGAACATTAATTCAAAATACATATGATTGCTTGTTTTTTTTTTTTTTAATATTTATATTAGTTTCGTGAACAAGCTGTAAATGCTATGCAACAAATTTGTGCAACACGTTCAGCTAGTTCGATATTAATTGATCAATATATTAATGATTGTCAATCAATTGGAGATAGTTTACAAACCAATGTTCAACGAATAGATGAGGATATTCGAACAATGCTTTCCATTTGTAATCGATCAGTTGGTAAACTTATAAAATACCATTAAAAATTTCTCTAAAAATGAATATTTCTTAATGAAATTTAATAAATTCGGATTGTCTGTATAAATAGAAAAATTTTCATGGAAAAGATGCTGCCGCACAAGGTCATAAATCTGCAACATTTCTAAATTATAATTTGAATAGATGAGAAAGATAGATCATGAAATTCTATACATAATATTATTCTTTTCGAAGTATATATATTCTTGAAAGTATAGACATGATACTTGTCTTCTGTAACATTTATCATTCATTTTACATCAACACCAAATAACTACGATTTGTTTGTATTTTATTCGTAGCATAAATTTGTAATACATGATCTAAAGAATTTCACGATGCAGTGAAACACAAATCAGGATCTATATGAATTATAACAGTGGCGGATCTAGGAGTTTTTGTAAGTAGAACGAACATATTCATAAGTCATGTGTTGAAGTTCATTAAAAGACGTATCTGTTCATTTTGGGATTTTTTTTTCTGCTGAGAACAATCAAAAAATATTTCAGAAGGAAGAGGAGCGATCAGTCTTAATACATCCCCTTTAAATCCACCACTAATGAGAGAATACATGTTAATTGTTGGACATCGTTCTACTTCATATTATGACTAAGACTAGGTCCCAGTAAGACTAAGTCAAGCTTTTAAAGATTCGAATGCACTAGCCCACTGATAAAGAGTTATGGTCGTTTAAATGAAATTTTCACTAAGAGCAAAGCATCTCCGAAAAATCTGAAATTTTACGTCTATAAGCATGTTTGATAGTCTTGACATTTCCAATGAAAAGAAACACAGCATATGTGTTTATACGCACAAAATATTAGATACAAACTCTTTGTTTTTGGATTTTTCGAAAATGCTTTACTCTAAAGAACAATTTCAGTAAAAACAGTCATAACTCGTCATCAGTAAGCCATGATTAAAACCATTCCAGCTAAATTCTATCAAAAACCTCTTCAATAGACAAAATACGATCAGCTGAAGATTTTTCATCAGTTACACCGCTAATTAGATATGATTTTACAATGTCAATTTAAATTTGAATGTTTTAAAATAAAGACAAGCCAAATTTCTTTCATCCATCCAATCACTGACATTTTACTGAGAATAATTAACTACAAATTAACTAATATAATATGTAATTTATTCGAAAAATGCTTTTTGAAATTATTTTTTGTTTAAGGACAAGCTTTGACAATATCAACCAATATTTCACAACAAATTTATATACTTAATGAAAAAGTTCGAGCTGTTTTATCGCTTGCTTTTCAAAATTTTCATACAATATTTGAAGAATTAAATAATATGCATAATCATTTTCAAGTAAATTTCAGAGTTGAAACGTTCTTTTTTTATTCTCATATTTCTCTTTTATAAGACTGAACTTGATCGTGAATTAAGACTATTAATTGATATGGTAGTTATAGAAATAAAGAATAACGAAGAGAAAAATCAAGAGAAATTACTTCATATTCAAGAAGAAACATTAATCAAAATGAAAACTTGCTTTCAAGAAATGGTTTGTCAAATTTCATAAGATATATATTGTTAAATATTTTCTTTTATTTATAGCTAACTTCATTTGGTCCATCAAGTCAATCATTATGGCTTGATTTACATAAATTTTTAACACAACGTTTCAATCAAATGGTAAGTAAACGTAAAGGATTCAAAAAGTTCTTGGACTGATTTTATGTAAAAACAACAAAACCTTCGACAATTATATGTTCTCTTTTTCGAAGTAGCATCTTTCTATCTTCAGAAAGACCGTTCAGGCACTGATGTATTGCCAAATTTTATGAACATCGATAATTCCAGTGCTTCTCTTGAAGAGGAACTTTTAAAACTGACAGCCAGATCTTTCAAATAAGGCGGATAATGGTGCAATTCGTGTTTTAAATCGCGAATAGTGAAAGAAACAAGATGGGATGCGCCTGCTAAAGCATTATCTTGTTTAAAAACGACACAAGCTGGAATCAAACCTCGTCATTGTTTTCTAATTTCTGGATGAAGTTCATTTATCAAAATCATTGAATAATATGGATTTTTTACTGTTACATCGACAGATACAGGTTCGTTGAGAATTATCCTTTATCATTCCAAAATATAAAACTTTGCTAGTCAACTTTTCTTCTTTTACACGATTCGTCGTCAGTTATCATTCGGAAAAGAAAGTCATTTGTAGCATCCATCTTGAACAAGCTGTAGTCATATGTATTTGATCAGATAAATGTCATGCACTAGGAAAGTTAAAATGCTAAGGGTCTACTCTTTCCTGAATCCTGTTTAGTTGACCTTTGATTATTAGGCTTTCAACAGGTTTAATAATTTTGTCATCTGTTGCAATAACTGGATGGAGATTGACCTTTTAAGACAAGAAACTTTATTACTGTGCGATGCTCAAGTTTTTGATTTTCCATTACCGTATATAAGGTGATCTAAAACAGATTACTATACTAGCACATAAATGTTTCATCGATCAGAGTTCATGATGTTTATAAATAGTGAATTATATGCATTACAGACATAGAAAACAATCTGAGTACAGCAGCGTTTGGTGTTGTCTTTAAATAGAGCCAGTTCGGGAACTTTTTGAATGCTATACGTATATATTTGTATATATTCAAATTATATTTATATTTCATGTTTATTTTAGCTGACAAATGAATTTCGAGTAAGCGTCTTTTTTCTTTCGATTATTGACAATGAGATTATTTTTATTGATATTCATAATAAATATATATGTAGAGTTTGATTCCAATATCCGACCTATCAACAAATGATGACAATGAATTACTTGATTTAAATAATATCCGAACTAAATGTCATAATGAACATGAAAAACAAATCTTCACAACTCAAAATAAACTTGAAGAATTGGTAAAATATTTCTTTTAAATTTCACTTATTACGAGAATCAAAAATGCAGAATCTATTACTAAAATGAAAAAATTTCCGATCCTTTTTTTAAAAATATATATCACAGACTAAATTGAATTCAAGGTAAAACTGAACTTAGGCATATTTCATTTTTAATTAGATGAAAAACTACGAAATAATTTTCATTTCCATTAAGAAAACCTAACACGTAAATCGGTATGGTCAGTTATTCGATCACTCATATATGAGGAACGGTATTCCTGAGAGAACACTTAGCACTTCAGATACGTGAAATCTTTCTTAAAATGGACAAATTGAGAATTTGTGCAAGAAATGGTAATGAAATACATCGTAACAAGGATCGATCAACAGAAAAAAACTTTTCAATTAGTTATTAATCGATTCGATACGAAATACTCGCGCAATGTATGAGCCTTCGTACATATCCTAGATGTCTACAAACTCAGAAAATACGTTCAAAAGCTATCTCGATTTTAAGCACAGTTTGATTTAATATTCGTAACCGTCTTCTAAAAATACTGTGCTACAAAGTTTCGTTAGTATTCAAAATTTGCAGTGTTTTTATTCATAAGTAAGCTGATTGCTTTTGACTTTCATATTTTCACTCTAATACAAACTGCGATCTTCGGAAAACAGATGACACTCTATAACAGACTATTTTTAGTTTTTTTATTTAATTCAACTATGCTTGTTAATAATTGAATAACTTTTCTATAGAAAGTTTATTTGTATGTTGCTTCATTTCGTAGTAAATTAATACACTCTCAGCTCCATTAAAGAAATTTCATTTTTTAAAACTTCGTTACAGCTAGTATTTTCTAAATAGGTCAGCTCGAGTCAAAGAAAAATCAAGGAAATTTTCATTGATAGTAGATCTAAATAGTCTGTATCAATAATAAAAGTTTCAAAGGATCGGCTTTGTCATTGTCGATAAATATATGTTACAATGTTAAAAAAAGACGAAATTCGGTAACGGTTGGCCATGTCAACATGTTGTTTTTAAGTAGACAGAATATTCATTTTTACTATTCATATTCAAATGTATGTAAAAATAGCTTTACCAACGTTGGCATCAAAAAATGATGTTCGCAAGTATTTTTTATATACCAGCAAATCAACACATGTTATTTTTGCGCATTCAGTTTCGAGAGAAAATATTTATTATTCTATCGCAGAAAATACATAAGCGAACAAATTCTTCATTGTTTTTGGTTAAAACTTAACAACATAATATATTCATGCTTTAAATATAATCTATGCGCCACGTCAAATTCGAAAACAAATTAACACAAGCTTAATGCTTTTTTTTTTCTTCGGTCGGAGCTTGCCAAAATTGAGTATACTCGCGAATTCTACAACATTTTAGATTCAACTAGACGTCGATTAAAATTAAACATAGCTTAATATTCCATTTTTTCTTCAATTATCAAGAAAGAAACAAGTCTATTGCACACTCAAAATAATGTTGTGTCAAAAACTAAATTAGCTTCATCAATCATCGATTAATACTAAGTCTTGATACATAGTTATTTCAGAAGCAATTTATCATAATTGAATCAAGCTTTAAAAGTGTTAGATATTGTACACTTTTCTTATAAAAAAAGCTGTAAGTGCAATTCTTACAGAATTAAAATGCGAAACACAATGTAACCGCACTTGCTTATCACAGATACTTCGTTTTATTCTATATATTTTAGTACACATTTTCTTCACCATCACATAATACTTCAATCTTCACAAATGCAATAATGAAGTAGTTTATATATTATAACGAGACGTTATTGATATACGATATGTGGGTCTAGATTTTTATCCCTATACTTCAATACTCCTTCTAGGTCATGTTTCATAATAGTACTAGTTGCCTCAAATCCTGATGGAACTACGGAAGGTGAAGTGCAGAATTGAAAGTCAGGATAAGAACGCTAGATTAGATTGAGAAGGATAATGAGGTATTCTAACTTGTTATCTTTGCATCACCATTCGTACCAAATAGTTTGTTGTGTATTAGAAAAAAAACCAAAACAAATATTAGCTTATACAGTGGTACAAAGACACAAGAAGCTGTAATACTACCCACATTTGAAGGATACAACAAATAAAAACACAATGTAATATAAGACGTACACATATCGAATAAGAGTGATAGTGAATTATGAAGTTAAACAAAAAGCAGTTGCATTGTTCTTTGTTGAAAAAAGAAAAGTTTATTAGCTAATTTTTCACATTAAACAGTTTTCAAGTAGACACAAGTTTTTCTAAAATTTTCTTCTACATATGTGGATGTAAACAAATAGATTATGAAGATCTGATGAAAACTAACCATATTTTTAGAAAATTCTATTTGAGACAAATTTTATTACTCAAACGATCTATCATAATACGAAGCTATGTTTCTATGATCAATTTCATAAACAAGTTAAACAAAAAAAATTTCTTGAAATTCTTTCTTATCATAAAAAAAAAACTATAGTACTATCCAAGAAAATCTTTATAAATAAATTTGACTTGCAGATTATTCATCTCATTGAATCTTTAACTGATATTAATAATACTTCTGATCATAAAAATACAAAATTACAAAATCCTACTCTGATTCAGGTATTTGTTTTTTTTTTCTTTGTTATAGTAAAATCTTTATTTTTCTATTATATTTAATAGCATATTCATAATATATGTATTCAACATGGACATGAAATTCGACAATTATTAGAAACAAAATTACAATGTATATTTAATCAAGTTCGAGATGAATATGAACAACAATGTGGTCATTTAATAACAAATATTGAACGTGATATTAATCAGATGAATTTAATATTACAAGATATGAATAATAAATTTGACTCATCATCATTAATCACAAATGAGTCAGTAGCACTTTTAATTAAACAATCACAACGTATTGATGTCATGACAAAAAATCTTGCGTACGATTGGCAAATGATTACACAATCAGGTAATGAAAATTTTCAATAGGATTAAAATTACAAATACAATAGAATTATTCCTATTGTAAATAACAATTACATCAAATAGTCTTTATAAATTTATTTAGATTTTATTGTTCATATTGTTTTTGTTCTTCATATTTAGTTGATAAATTCGAATGTGAAACGATTTTACCATCGCCACCTATAGCAATACCAAAAACTGATGCTGCAATTAAACTTGAACTGTCTATTAAAGAACAACAACCACGTTTAATGACAATTGAAAATAAAGAAAATATTACCGATGGAAATCTTCTTCCAGCTCCTATTCCTATTTCTTCAAGAACAGCTACAGTTAATATTATACCATGTCGTCTTAAAAATGATGTAAGATCATCTAACATAGAAATCTTTCATTTCTATAAATATTTCTTGTTTTTATATTTTAGACTCCATTCTTTTGATCGGAATGTATATTTCTATAATATTTTTTTTTTTCGTTACTTGTAATTCTGAATGTTAAATTAAGTCAGATGATTCTTAATCAAAATAAATAAAATTAGAACTATTATTTATGATTGTATAATATAATAAGAAATGATCATGCGTTGAAGTAATGATTCATCAGCAATGAAAGTCACATATTACTATGCAAATAAAACGATTTATTTAATAGGAAAGAAAAAAAAATATGTCGGGCTCTTTTTCATGAAATGATCGGTAAAGTTTGTTTCAAGTAAATGCATTGTAACCCATCGCTGTTAGGTGAGAAATATATATGTTTACCATCGTTTCATGCCTATTTTGCACTCATGCTCTAATTAAACAAACTAATAGTTGATTTATAAATTACTCTTACAACAAAAACATATGTCCAATATAAAGCTAAACCTTATGATTCATTTTCTCTCTCTCTCTCTCAATAATAAGCTTAATATCGTTTATTGTTACTTTTTATCTGTGTATGTTAATCACATATGGATTCTTAGCCGTGCTAGATAGATATATATAAAATACTAGTGACATCTGCTCAGTTGAGTAGCTTTTACATTTGAAAAAAATAATCGACTTTATTTTACTGATTAAAGTAGATAATAGGCTATATTTTGTAGTTTTTATTTATCTTAATATTTTATTTACCAATTATATAAATAAATTGAAAGACATAAACGAGACGTGTATGAAAACTGATGAGTCACTGTTGTCAATAGCCAACTATATTGTTTTGTTATTCATTCAGTACAAGAACGATAAGAGTAATATCAATTATCATAGTTTGGTAGCGTGATATAAATAAAAGATTTCTTTTTTTTGTTTTGGTTTTTTAACAATAAGCGAAAATTATTTATTTGTTACTTAAATGATAATAATTGCATTATTATTATTATTATCTTGAGATTACAGTTAGTCAATGAGCACTCTAGTGCAGCAAAATAACACGTCGCACTATCCTCAATCAAATATGATGAATAGTGCAGAAGGAGCAGTACGACAACAACGTCCAACACATAATCCATCGAAAAATTTACAACAACATGAATTAAGTAATTTATATGACATACTTGGATCAAATTGTGTGGTAAAAAAAGAAATTAAATTTTGTAATTTTTTTTTACAAATTTTTTTTTTTGCGTTAGACTTTATCAACAGCTGTTGCACAAGTTTTACATGGTTATAATGGTACCTGGAGAAAACAAGCATGTGGTGTGTTTTGTTTTGTTAAAGATTATCAAAATCGAAGTTATTGTTTTCGATTATATGATCTTAGAGTAAATGTTCAAGTTTCTTTTTTGTTTTATTTTTCATTTTATAAAATTTAATTGTTTGTTTTTTTTTAAAGTCTAGACTATCAATTTATGAAGAATTAGTACCAGCTTCACTTCGTCTTGAAAAAGCGTTAGATGTTTTTTATACATTCGACGGATCAGTTAGTTTAATTTGTTTTTGTTTTTGTTTTTTTCTGAATGATTGATTATTTATTTTATTTGAATTTCTAGAATTGTAAAATTGGAATAAATTTTGTTGATCGTGATGAAGCACAAACATTTTCTCATCATTTTCATTCAAAACAAGAAGATCGTCAAAGTAAAAAAGGTTTTGGGAAAAGTATTCTAACATTAACTTGAATAGTTTGATGATTTTTCTTGATAAAACTATCGAGAGTAAAATTATATAAATTTTAACAAGAAAAAAATATTGCTCGTGCCATTGAAACATAGCGATAGAAATTATATCACAGACGTAGCAAGACTTATAATCACAGTTCATAAATTGAACAGTAGCTTATGAATTTTTTCTATAAATTATATTATACATCTTATCATGAAACAGAAGGAATCATGTTGAATGTATGCAAGTAACTAAGACAAGGAATTACTTTTCAGAATTATAGCTCTGTTTTCATATAGTTAAAAGATATGATACACTATAAATGAATTAGTGCCCCGCAGGGGTATGTCTTTTCATGATTGGAACTAATTGATATCTAACAGATACTTTCATTATAAGGTTTTTAAACTTTTATTTTATATGAACACAATTATACTAATTTCTTCTATAAACAGGAACAAAAAAAAAAGAGATTATCTCAAATTCTACGAAAAAATACAAAAATAAGTGAATTAGAATTTATTTGATCTCTTTCTGCTTCTAAAATCTGATTGATTTCGTTTCATATATATGTCTGTTTCTTATTGATGATATAACAATGGAACGCAGTGTTGGTGCCAAATGTCAACAATCGTTGATACACATATGAATGCTTTCTCCATCACGATAATGCATTCCGTTATTCACTGCTGTAATTTGTTCTCACGTCCTATAAATTGTTCGGACTGATATTCATTCCTATGCTTTTTTGTTATAAATTAACAGTTTGAAAAAAATAAAAATATTTTGAAACATTGATATCTTATTGATGAACCGGGTCGGATACTCGATCCAATTGCAAGATATTACAATGTCATAAATCTCAATAGTTTGAAAACTGCATTTACTCTTCATGAATCTTGTTCATCTAAACTTTTTTTTTCTGATGTACACAGAAAACCTTGACGTATATCCTAGCAAATAAAAGAATTAGAAATATTGTTGGTATTGTATTGAAACAAAGAGAACAAGAAAATTTTTTCATTGAAGTATTTATTGAGATTTTTTTTTTTTTGTCTAGCTTAAGCCTTTTTCCTGAATATGCTATTTTAATTTACTAATAAATTCTTTACTGATTATTATTTGCCTTCATTCTGTAGATGATGATGATAGTTATTTTTATCCTTTGGTTAGAAATGAGATTATGTAACATTTATATTATTCATATTTCTTCTATCAATTCGATGGAAAAATTTTATTTTTACAAGAAAATTATTTTTTTTATTATCAAAAAATTTTAAATTAAACTTTTGATATTTATACATTTTCAATAACAACATAGAAAGAATATATTCATGTAATTTTAATCGAACAAAAACAGATCGTTCGTTATGTTGATCTTAGTATTTTGTTACTTAAACGTTTGAATATCCATTCGTATAATGTGACAATCGTTTCTAACACTTGTTAAAAGATTATTAAAACTCTTTTTTTTTAATTTCATAGAAAAGAAAAAGACTCCTGCGCCAACAAAAGTAACACATCCAGTTATTAGTCCACCATCGACTTCACCAGGTGTGTCCGCTCTGATGAATGGAATGAAACCAACACCAGCCACTATAGCACCATCAACATCATCCGTAGCAGCAACAACTAGTGTCACTACTCCACAAAGTAAACGAAAACAATTTTATTCTTAATTAATTAATTTCATATGATCATGTTGTTCTTCTTCGATATAGAGCAAAATACAGTCAAAAATTCAGGTTTTTTTACAATCGGTCGAAATAAAAAGAAAGTTGCTCGTCCCGATATATCAGCACCCATTCAATCATCGTATGTTAAATAAAATTATCATTAAAATAATTAATAAATTCTTTTTCTTAGATTGGTGCATGTTAGTCATATTGGTACTAAAGAAGTATGTTAAATTGTTTTCCTTTCTTTTTTTTTTTGTATTTTAATTTTCAATGCATTCGAATTGATTTATTTTAATTTAATTCTATAGAGTTTTTTTAATGATGATGTAACAAAAAAAATGTTTGAACAAGTATTAGCTGGTATGCATATATCACCGGAAGAAAAAATTTATGTACGAGAACTTGTAAATACAGATGCTGATTTACAAAAACTTCTAGAAAGTAAATATAATTTATATTGATTTGTTCTTAGTAAAATTAAAATTAATAATTTAAGAACCAACAGTATCTATAAATAATACTAATAATCAAGGACAACAACAAATGTCAACAGCTCCACCAGAAATTCCTCCACGTAGTCATCAAACTCTAGGTAGAAGTAATGGTGGTCGTGCACCACAGCAAGATATATCGGGTCCATCACCAGCTTATAATCAATCGAGTAACAATCGTTCTCAACCATTTCAAGGATTGTTTACTCCACCTACTGGTCTTAATCAACAACCACCTCCTACAATTCCACCAAGACCAGGTATTCGTGCATCTGATAATACATATCCATCAACACAAGCTCCATCGACTCCACCACCTCCACCACCACCGCCACCATTTCACGGAGGATCGTAAGTCTATTTTATATTCTAATAAAAATCATGAATTTATTTTTCTAGTGGTACTGATGCACATCGAGGACACGCTCCGCCTGCACCTCCACCCCCACCACCTCCTCCACCACCAATGCCCGCTAGTTTCATGAATCCAAATCAAAGTTCAGGTGGTGGTCCTCCTCCACCACCACCGCCTCCTCCTCCAATGAATTCAAGCTCTTCATCAGGATCAATAGCAAATTCGCCTGTTGTTCCAGGTGTAAGTGCAACACGTGACAATTTACTTGATGATATTCGTAACTTTGGTACAAACAGACTAAAAGTATATGATTTTGTTTTTGTTTTTTCATTTATTATTGTTATTAATTTCAGTCACGATCGGAGCGGCCACCAATACCAGAAATGTCACCATCAGGTGATACAAGTCCAGCAGCACAAGATACAATGGCAATGAATATTCTTAAAATTCTTGCGGAACGACGAGAAAAACTTAGTAAATTAGTTCTTTTTTTTTTGTAGAGTATAAAATATTTATATTTATATATATATTTGCTTTTAGTTGGACCAGAAGCTCAAGATGATAATAGTGATTCAAGCGACGGTGAATGGTCAAATTAATCAAAAATTGTTTTTTTTGCTATACTAATCGAATCATTCCAACAAAAATCTAATCATTATTCATTCTTTTTCAAAATACTTTGATAATTTTCGTTGTTTTTTCTCTTTCTTTTCTTCACTACGATTATACGTTTTTTCTTTTACCTATGCAAATCGATTAGAAAACAGAAGTCTAACGTAGTAGTTCTTGTATTCATACTATTTTTCATCCATTACTTATTATTATATGCTTGTATATGTACATTCACACTTATGCTTGTTTGTTCCTTGTCCTTCCTTCTGTTTTTTTTTTGCTTTTCATATGATTCGAACTCTTCTTGTTTTTTCTTTCGTTCTTACTCTTCGTTACTTGTCACACTCACATTTACTTATATACGTGCGCGATTTGTCTTTGTTTTTATGATGGTGCAAAAAATAAAGAACAGTGAATCCTTATTTTATTGTCTTTATTTGTTTTTATTTATTTTGAAAATTTTTGTTGATACTAATTAGATTAATGTAGATATTTATTCAGTGAAGCTTTGTTTTTTGTTATTTAATGAATAGCAACATTTAATAGTTATTGATCATTTAATTCTTTTTCTTTTGTAAACTAATGAGATTGTATAGTTTCGATGACGAAGATCAACAGAACACGATTAAGACTTCACTACATTCTTCGCACACACACCAGAATAGTTTATTAGGTTTCCGAAATTTCGACAGTGGATTAGGTGAGGATTACAAAAGTTCTTATCGACTACATTGATGAATGACCGCTATTATATATCTATATTAACAATATTAGATTGAGCTTTCATATGTATCCTATATTAATATTGTTTCGTAACAGCTCGCGTAAGTCTATTTTAAGTTAGCTCGTTGATAGATGAAAATCCGACTACCCTGATTATCGTTTTGCGCATTCTTAACTTGTTCGATTTTGACAGAAAAATCTGAAATAGAGTTATCGACAGATGTCATAATGTTACATAATAACTTTCTACTTTTCATCATACAAATGAAGATGTGGCATGATTAAGTACTTAGATCGACAAATACGAAGTCTGTATACAATTATATTGTGCTATATCACATGATTGCGTATAACAATTGTATATATCGATGACCATATACAGCTTCTGTGTGCTAAGACAGTAAATAGAGCATTCATTTTTCTTCCCTATAACGGTCGTTTACGACTGTGCCCGCTTGCCTTGGATAGTAGAACTTTGATGAATAAATATATGTCATCCTATTATATGATAGATTATGGCATAAATCAGAATACATTGAAAACAAAAATAGAATAGGGCTAATATTGTGCAACTAAGATTGAAATATTTTACATAAACAATTCGCTTCGAAAGTAGTCTTACATAGTAGCCAGATCAATCAGTGCATTTCATCGTCAATTACCATAAGATTGCCTTAAAAAACGACCATTGTTATGTCATCTGGTGCTGTTATCATATGCGCAGTTTTACTGACTGTATACGATCCCATATTCTCAGTGTAAAACACAGTAAATATGTCGTAATGTTGCCGTATTCTATCATACATATGGTCGTATGATTGAGTCTCCATTTATGTAGAAATATAGCACTGCGAACGTATTATATTTATAATTTTAAGCAAACAGATTATAATTAGAAGAGAAACAAAAACTCATATTTGAAAATTTCGGATTTTATGACGAGAGAGTTAGTTTTGTAGATTTTGCTGAAAGGTTTTAGTTATTGATCTAATATTTATGCTAACAGTATGATGATACAGTAGAGAATAATCAAAATGTACACCAGAATATTATCAAGTTTATTTTTATGAAGAAGTAAAATAATTTCTTGTATGATGTCTTTAGAATTTATCTAGTAAAAATATGTTCTAATAAACTATTCAGCTTTCAGCTGAGTAGATATAAATAACTATAGTAAAAATATTTATTGTGTTTTTTTACACTATTGATCTTATTACAATTGTAAAATTTCATAAACAAAATCCGTTTAATTTTATGCTATATCATAAGTATTTGCGCTTTTATGTACGATTGTTTTACGATCATTTTTGTGTTAAAGTATTTTTAATAATTTTCTCATTGTTTTGCTAATACTAAGTCCATCAAGTTTTCGATCTAAACAATCGAAATCACATTTTTCTAATGTATCTTTTACTAATTCTTGTTCATCAACACCGGTATGAGGTGCTTTTGAATCATATAAAATGCGTTCGCATAATGCTAATATTCCAGCAAATGTATCAAATGTAAATTGATGTTGTTCATTGCCAATATCAATTAATTGACATAAATCATCATATTGTGAACGTGTAAACTTTTCTCTATGTATATCTGTAATTGATGTATATAAATTATTTGATTCAAAACGATATTGATTATTACGATATTTATCAAATACACGTTTAAATTGATAATTTCGACGTGATGATAAACGACAATATTTACTAAGATAATCAAGTGGTGTTAAAGTTTCAAGTAATTTTAAATCAAATGGTAATTCAAAACGGCAACCCTGAAGAAGAATCAATTAACATTAAACTAATTTTAATTCAAATATAAATACGAACTTGTTGTGATATAGGCATTTGACCAATTGATAAACCAGTTGCACCTTGTCGAAGTTTTTCTAATAAATCAAGTGTTTCTTGATTTTCAGGAATTGTTTTTGTTTCATCATCATGTTGATTTTCTTTTCCTGAACGCAATTTTGATTTTTTCATTGCACTACGACTATTACCCATAATTCCTAATTCAAATGCAATCATATCATTCATTGATTCGACTGGATCAAATGCACCTTTTTTTATACGTTTACGATTATCTACAACTTCCAATTCAGGTTTTTGTTGTGTTAATTGATCTTTTGTAGGTTGCTTATTCTCTATTGTTGTAAGAGGATCAATAATTTGATCTTTCTTTTGATCATTTATTACTTGTTCTTTCAATGGTTCTGTTTGTTCAATAGTGGGTGGTGGTGGTGTTTTTGCTGTTGGTGTCGGTGGTGGTGGTGGCGTTTTTACTGCCATTTGTGTATCAATATCATCAAGATATTTTCTTATTTCCGGACTACCTCCGTTTGAATTGATTGACGAGCGATGTCGGTTTGTTGATAAATTATTAATATTTATTGGTAATTGAAGTCGTTCTATATTTGAAAGATTACTTAAATCAATATTATTATTTCCATAATTTTGAACAATCATTGCTTTATTCAGTAGATCATTATCAGTAGTTTTAGTAGTTAACGGTTCTGTTTTCTTTGCAGATGTTGAATCAGTAGTAACTTGTTTTTTCTTTGCTGTTTTTGGTCGTTTTATATTTATTCTACTATTATTGTTACTTATTTGACTTGTTGATTGTTGAGATGAACGACGTTTTTCATTGATTATTGACATTTTACTATTAATATCATTATCGTCTAATATTAAAAAACAATATAAAGAAAAAAAAAGAGCAGTTTTCTTTGTGCTTTTTGTTTACCTTTCGCGATAGTCAAACCATCTCGTAATGCATCATTAAAACCTATTTGTGGTGTTGATGAAGGTGTATTTGTATTACGTGACGATACATTTGGTCGAACATGTTGTAAATCAGGTGTTTTAGATTTTGGAATTTTTTTTTTATTTCGATTCATTTTAGGATTAGATTCGATTAATATTGAGTGTAAGTGTTCGTCGTCCTCTTCATCTTGTTTTTCTTTGATTTCTTCCATTCCATCATTATATGTTTTTATTTGAGATTTATTCGCTGATCGATCACCATATTTTTGTAAGTAACTTTCTGTAAACGAAAGAAATGGTTGACTTTGATTGGTAAAATTTGATGATTGAAATGCATCATGAAATGATTGTGCTGAATGATGACTACTTGTATGACTTCGATATTTTGATGTTACTGGTGGACGATGAGTTTTTTGATAACGTTGAAATGGTATTATTGGTGATTGATCATGTATTGTACCTGAAATGTGTGAAAGTTGATGAGTATGAAATTTATCAAATGATGGTGCCGCTGTATGTGGTCGTTTTTGTTGTTCTTGAATATTTCGATTTGTTATTGAATTTCCATTGATAACTTTAACAAAACATTGTTCATATGAATGAAATGATTGATCTATATATTGTTCTTGTTTTGTTGACATACGTTGTTCAACATTTTGTAATGCACGAAGATTTTCTTGACGTAAAATAAAATCTTGTCGTTTTTTTAACGTTTCAAATGCTGTATAACTTCGAACATAAGATTGTCGATGTCGATGTAAATCATGTAATAATAATTGACTAAAACCTTCATGGTCTTTATCAGATAATGGTAATGTTGATGTTTGTGGTAAAAGCATAAGTGGTGTATCATTAAAGCCATCTGGTGACGAAAAATTTTGTGTAATTATTGGAATTTTCGTCATTTTATTGATTAATATTAAATAAAATAAAAACGAAACGATTTGCTCAAATAGTAGTCGTAGTGATGATGTATGACTTCACAACAACTGTCAATTCAATGTAGACTGAAGCAGTCAAACAATTATTAACAAACAAAACAATACTTTCAGTTTTTTTTTCTCTCTCATACCCGACTTTTTTTCCTATAAAACATTATGCTGCAGCATATCTTTTAAAATTTTGCACGACGAACAATAATAACAAAAAAAAAACAAATGGATTGAAAAAAAGAGAAAAAAAAAGAACCTTTTGCTTTCTTAGTAAACGTTGTTCAGTTTACTTTCGAATAACATTGACATTTCACAAAAATATATATCTGTTGTTTATTTCAATATGCTTTAAATGTTTTATTTATTTTTTTAATCTATGTTTTAGATGATACATGATAATATATTAACATCATCAAATCAACACGATAGTTTGGAAAATGATCAAACACTACAATATTTTACTTCTATTCGACTTCAAGAACCTGAGTATGAAGATTAAAACTCTTTTAAGAGTTTTCGTTCGTCGTCAAAATGACTATATAAACATTAATCAATCTGAGAGATCATTTTATTGCTGTAGAATCAGTCCTTATATTATAGTAATATTGAATAAAGAAGGAAGGCTAAAATCAGAAGGATCAAATAGTATTCGGCAACGATCGAAGTTAACATAAATCGTGTCCACTTTGTTTGAATCAGTCCTGTTATTTATATTTATATTGAGCCTTCAACGTGTTGCTCAGATCAATAGTAATGAAATTTATACAATATAAATAAAGTTCAATAAATATTTGAGGTCGTTACCATAGTTACTTTTCTATGATCTGTATGCGGAATGTTTTTTCAAGCAGCACTCAAGTTAATGACTGAGAACGATTGCCATCGGTTCAGTTATGTTAAATATGATCGATATAAAGAAATATGGAAAAATAGATCAATTGAAAGTCCTTGATAGCTTTTATATTTGACACATATTGTTCGAATTTTTAGGCATACTATTATTTTTTTTTGTAGTTTCTCATCGTGAGATAATCGTAGTTCGATGATTTACTTATTTTCTTAGAATTACTATGAGCTATAAATTTTTTTAGAAAAATGAGTTCGATATGGAAAGAGAACAGAGTTCAAAGTATCAATTTGATATCAATCATTCATGAAAACTAGCTATCAATGAAATGCGAAGGCTGTGATCATCAGTCTGTACTCAAGAGATTAAAAGCAGGGTCGTTCCAAAGCCGCTAGGATTGGAGAAACGATCGAGTGTTTTTAAAGAATCTGTGAGCAAAAAAGAAGAAATAAAATGTTGGAACTTCAATGAAGAACAACGACAATATCTCAAGATTGAGAGCAAGAAGTGAATAGTGTTCGACGGTTCCAAAGAAAACCGGAACCGAAGTCATTAAATCATTAGAGAGATAAAAAAAATCTTACATCTGTTTCGAGAAACCTTCATTTTTTCATTCTTAAAGTTAAAGAGTGTAATATATATGTATAATATTGTTTGGCTTAACTATTAAAAAATATGATGTCTGTAATTGCAACAATGAACTAACGTAAATTTCTCAGATGGATTTTCAATTTTCATATCTATCTAATCATTTAACAGCTTCGGTTTCATGTAATAGTTTAGAAACCAAACTGAGACCAACTTTTTTCCTTATTTTTTAGTAACCGAAAATGCCGAATTCGAAGAATGACTTTCCGACTTTTGCGCTCTAGATACTTTTGATTAAAATTCTATATCAATTTTTGTTAATTAAAAATGTACTATTAATGTTTTTTTTTTCCTTTCATTTCTTTAATAGAACATCAGTAGCCATAACAGCTATTCGTACATTAATTGATGTTATTAATCGTTCATCAGCTGGTACAATGAGTGAATTATCACATGAACTTAAAACAGCTGTACAATTATTAACAACACAAACTGATTCTTCAATGCCAAGTGTTAAATCAGGTTGTGAATTATTTTTACGTTTTATAACATTAGCGAAATTTGATACATTTGCTATTGATGAATGTCGTCAAAAATTAATTGAACGTGGTCAAGTCTTTTTAGAACGTACATTATCATCAAGACAACGTATTGCTGAATATAGTCAAGAATTTATTGTTGATGGTAGTATTATATTAACACATTCATATTCACGTGTTGTTCTTGCTTTACTTGCATATGCATCAAAATTTTCACGTTTTAAAGTATTTGTTACTGAATCTGAACCAGATAAAAGTGGTTTAAAAATGAGAAATGAATTAGAAGCTATTGGTATACCATCATTATGTATATTAGATGCTAGTGTTGCATATGTTATGGAAAAAGTTACATTTGTTTTAATGGGTGCTGAAGCTGTTGTTGAAAGTGGTGGAGTTATTAATAAAATTGGTACATTTAATATAGCTATAGCAGCACATGAAATGAATAAACCATTTTATGTTGCATCAGAATCATTTAAATTTGTTCGATATTATCCATTAAATAATCGTGATTTACCTGATCATTTTAAATATAAAGCATCAACAATAGCACGTTTAAGTGAAAAAAATCTTGAAATGGAACATCCACTTGTTGATTATACACCACCGGCTTATATTACATTATTATTTACTGATATTGGTACATTAACACCATCAGCAGTTAGTGATGAATTAATTAAACTTTATATTTAATAGATATAAAAACTCAAGGTAGTCATTAAATAATCTGATTTTACAGGGATAAGGGTATTATCATTTCTCGTTTCTTTTTTTGTAATTAAAAGTAAAAAAAAAAAAAAAAAACTATGTTGAAAAATCGATTTATGTAATGTTTGATGTTTAAGCCTTATAAGTCTTCTAAAAGTCAAATACGTTTAAATCATCAAACAGATTGTATAATTCGATATTTTTTGACATAAAAATTTTCGTTTACATCTATGACCGTTTATTCAAGCTTGTGTTTCTTTTTTTCGCAAAGTAATTTGTCGTTTAAAAAAGTTAGTCTATCTCATGTAACAACAAGAAAAGAAACAAAAAAAAAACAATATATATAGTATATGTATACCTATATATATTTATACATATCTACAAAATTCTTTATTTTAATCATATAAGAATTATGAAGAGAGAAAAAAAAACAAACAAATATATATATATATGTATCAAAACTCTGACAAAATCTTTTCTAATTTATCATAAATAGAATTTCCTCGATCAACAAGATTATTTAAACGTTGAAGAACATGTTTAATTGATTGTTGTTTTGTTTTTGATACTTTATCTAATGGTTGATTATTTTCATCAGCTAATAAATTAGATGATTCATTAATGATAAAATGAATATTTTCTTGTTGTTGATTAACAACATTTGATAATGAACGAACAATATCATCTAATTTTCGATTTTCATAACTATTTGTTAAGAAATTATTGCTTCTAATTAATAATCGTTGTTGTTTATTGTTAGATTCTTTAGTTGAACTATCAGATTTTGATATAGCACGATCAAGTTCATGTAAAGCTAAATAAATTTATTTTATTTGATATTTAAAATTATTATAATCAGTTTTACCTTGTTGAATATTTGTACGTACTGATAATAAATCAGATTTTAAATTTGTAGACGATTGAGAAGTAGAAATATTCATTGATTCATTATTTGTTAATGATAATGTTTGTTTTTCTTGATGAATTGGATTATCTTCTGTTAGTTGAATTTCTTGTCCATCATAATCGTCATTGATTATCACCAGTGGATTTTCATCTGTTTCATTTATATAATTTTCAATTAAAGAACTATTCAATTCTTGCTGATCTTTGTCATCAACATCATCCGGTTCAGAATCCGACTGTGTAGTTGGCATTGGTTCATCTATTCGTAATACATTACGATTTGATAGACGCGAAGGTCTCTTAACGTAACTTGATCGTGAACTTTTTTGAACACTTGTTCTAATAAGATTTAAAAAAACAAAGAAAATTCTTGTTTTTTTTCTGTTTTGTTTCTATTATGTGTAAGCTTTAAAGATTGGAGTATATAAAATTATTGTCTGTTAAAAAAAAATAATGGTCATGGTCATTTTTGCTATAATTCAAGAAATGAAAGAGCTAGAGAGCTGCGGTTTTCACCAGTCGAAAGAGATGATACTAGGACACCTTTTTCTCCAATATTGTATAAGACTAGGGGTGTCAGCGTTCCCCGTTCCTCGGCGTTCCGTTCCTAGGAACGGGAACGCTTGTCAAAATCGCATTTCCACGCTATATTTCAACATGGCGAGGTCTCTAGACACATCCACTTTTCTTTTTATGTTTGAGTGTTCAGCGTTCCGCGTTCTCAGGAACGGGGAACGCTACCCCGTTCCGCGTTCCCAGGAACGGGGAACGCTACCCCGTTCCGCGTTCCCAGGAACGGGGAACGCTACCCCGTTCCGCGTTCCCAGGAACGGGGAACGCTGAACACTCAAACGTAAAAAGAAAAGTGGATATGTCTAGAGACCTCGCCTTGTTGAAATATAGCGTGGAAATGCGATTTTGACAAGCGTTCCCGTTCCTAGGAACGGAACGCTGGGGAACGAGGCACGTTAACATCCCTAATTTTTATGAAATTGGCTTTCCTTCGGTGAATTAGTAAAATTTCTGTTAAAAGTGAAAGAAACGTATATTGCGTTCCCATTCCTAGGAACGGAACGCTGAGGAACGCGGAAGCGTTCCCCGTTCCCAGGAACGGGGTGGCGTTCCCCGTTCCTAGTAACGGAACGCAAAGTTGACACCCCTATATAAGACGAAATCATTTTAAAATCAAATGTTTTTACAAAACATCGTAAAAAAGGCACAAAAATTATCTATCGTTCATATCAAATTTTGACAAAAAGTAAGAAAATTTGAATTAAAAATTAAGAGAAATTCATATTATTCGAGGTAGTAAATAAAAAATTTGATTTGCTTAACGTTATAATGCGTGAAGATAATCATTCAAATTATATCTTAAACTATAGATCTGAGTTTCCTCTATCCAAATCACATACCAATGCCAAAATTTCATCGCTACGACAGACCATTTTCATGGATTTTCTTGTAATGTTTTGCTGAAATGATTGATTTTAAAATAATTTCGTCTTATACAATATTGAAGAAAAAAGTGTCCTAGTACCATCTCTTTCGACTGGTGAAAACCGTAGCTATTTAGCTCTTTCCTTTCTTGAGTTATTGCAAAAATGGCCATGATCATTATTTTTTTTTTAACAGACAATAGTTCGATTGATAGATAAAAAAAAGTCACTTTAATTTTACCTTCGAAAATAAGTGGAAACACGTTTAGTAGCTTGACGTTCATCCAAAGATTTATACACGTTTTTGATTGATGCTGGTATATTTGATTCTCGTAAAATATGTTCACCATATTTTTTATAATCATGAGCTAAAAGAAAAAAAACAAAGAAATATCCGACTAATTAAATAGATAAATGAATAACTAACCATAAAGTTCATGCAATTCAGCTAATATTTCTTTTTCTTTATTTGAAACTAGAATATTTTTATTTGTTTTATTACTTTTTGTTGTAGTTGCCATTTTAAATTTACACCTATATTAGACAAATAAGAGTACGATGATACACGTATCAACAATTTATGTATGTATGTATATGTAGTAAGTTCGCTTTTGTTAAAGAGGGACGAAAGAGAAGAAAAATGAATTATAACAACCGATGACGAGTCGAAGTCAGAGTGACGGTTCGTTCGCTCGTCACCGATTGGTATTATACATTTATATATTGTTTTCTTTTCTATCTCGTCAGTGTTAGCGAAGACAACTAGCGCAAGTCAATCATATTCATTCGTTCATACTATGTCCATTATTTGTAATCCGATAAAAGATGACTCTATACATACATTCATGATTTGTATGAAAGTACTAGTAAACTTTTGCCTGTTGATTCATATTTACTAGCGGATGTCAACCATGACAAAAGACATAGAATACGAAAAAGAATAATATATACATATATAAATTCACGTGAACATAACCTTCGAAACTAAGATTGTCCTATGTTTCCAATTGTTTCTCGACAAGTATTTAACCAATGGAATGAATCATATTTTACGGATGTTCGATAATAACATTAATCATATTTCGTTATATTATTGTCTCATTAGCCAATGCATAATATAGAATGAATCTATATATATAATGTTCAGTGTGTGTGTGTCTGTTTCTCTGTGCCAGGTCAAAGGTCAAAGGTCAAATAAGACTATAAGCGGAAGACCTCAAGGGCTGTTATATGGCGGTACCCATAGGTCCCCAACGGCTATTATATGGCGGTGCTCATAGATCCTCAAGGGCTATTATATGAGGGTAGCCATAGGTCCTCCAGGGCTATCCTATGAAGGTACTCATTGGTCCTCACGTCACTAAGGCAATAAGGGGATAAGGCTATAAGGGTAAAGGATTTAAGGCCGTAAGGCTACATGGATTATAAAAATATGTGCGATATAAGAGTATCAGACCGTAGGGCTATCTATCTATATACATAATATCGAGTGTCCGTATGTCTGTTACCGAATGAAAAGTTAGACATCTGAGGTCATACGTTAAAGGAGGAAACAGCCGTGCAGTATGCATGGGCTCTCGCTAGTATATTATATTGTATACGTAGAGATTGATTTGAGAGAATATGATTTTAATTATTGACACTGTAACACTTAATGTGCAGCTTATCTAATAAATCGATCTATACGTCTTTGATGTGCAACTTTGCTTTATTCTAATATTCAAATAGATCCTTTTGTTGTATCAATGATTATATATTTATTGTAATATATTTTCGATGTGTTTAAATTTATATTTGGTTCAATAGCTTCATTGTATTTACTAATGATTAATGCTTTTAAATGAGCTTTTATATAAACAGAGTTTTCAGAAGACAATTCTAGCAAAATGTTTAGAAATATTTATTCATCGTATATTTAACTTGAATAAGATTGTATAAAGACTATTGCAAAAGTACGATCTAAAAAGAAGTATGAATAGTTCTTCAGTAATTTAAATAACATTTTTTTCACAATTAGATCTTCTTCAGTATATCTTCAAGTAAAATATCTGCACCTACAGAAACCAGAATTAAAATAGTTTTACTCATGATCAGATTCAAATCAGCTACCATGATAAAATGAGAAGTACAAGTTAAATTTGAAGAACAACCATGCTAACAAGAGAACCACCTGGGGTGATACCTTGCGTTTTTTATGAGATCCCAGTCATTACGTAGGACCTGTTGATACTAGAAGAAATGTTCTTTCCCATGTGCTACCACTTGAGAGTTATGGCCGTTAAACTGGATTTACCATTAGAATCTCCTGAAATTTCACTCGAAAAGAGTAGTCTTTTCTCGACATATCAAATCCGCATAAGCTTAGATTTTCTGGTATATCATGGCTTTTTTTCGACTTAAATTATTATTATAGCGCAATATTTGTTTGCTTGGTTTTGTTTTATATTAATATCATTTCCAAGGCAAAAATCCAGTGTAACGGTCATAATTCCAAAATAACAACGCATGCGAAAGAATCCTTCTAAATTTCTTCTAGTTTCAACAGGCTCTACATAAGGACTCGGGTGTTATCTCAAACGTGAGATATTACCTCGGCTGGTTCCCTTGTAAGTAAACCTCGGATTAGAATTTTATGACACCGATACTGTCGAAAATTGATCACATTCAGGAAGATATCTACAATAATTGCCGAAGAAAAAGTCAATGATGTTTTGAATAATGAACCACATTTCAGAGTTTCATCTACTGTGCAAATTTGTTCAAACTGTTAAACAAATAAGCATTTGTATGACTTAAATAAGAGACATTTCGTTATAATTCAATAAGTTATTGTTTTGAGGCAGTATGAAAACTTATGAAATAGACAGACTAGTTGATCTTGACTCATACTTATGAGTATTATTAACTTTATTGAATTTTTTTTTCATTAATTATCATAGCAGTATTTCAAAATGTGATCAATTTTCCACAATATCGATTTCACAAAATCCTAATGCGATGATTACTTAGCAAATTTTTTTCTTCAAAATTGACTCGTAGTTTTCATTTTATCATCGTAGTTGATTTGCATTTGATCATGAGTGAAACTATTTTAATTCTAGTTTCTGTAAACACGGTGATTTTATTTGGAAACATATTGAATAAAATCAAATCGTAAAAAAAATCATTTGAATCTCTGAAGAACTATACATGGTGGCTTTTTTAATGGACTTTTGAAACGTTTTGCATATTTTATTGATTAAAAAATAGTTTCAATTTTATTCAGATTAGTTATGATTTTATTATTTTTATTCTGTATATTTGTATGTTATGTACAAACATTTTTACATTTTAATAATAATACATATATTGAACAATTATCATCAAATTATTTTTATTCATTTGTTCAACCAAAACCTATTCCTGAACCTCATTTAATTAGTATAAATGATAAATTAATGAACGATCTTTCAATATCAATGTTTGATCGACAAGAAATGGCTGAATTATTAAGTGGTAATAAACTTCTATCGGGTTCACGACCAGCAGCAATGGTTTATGCTGGTCATCAATTTGGTTATTTTACTTCACAATTAGGCGATGGTCGAGCTATTCTTCTTGGTCAATTAAATCAATGGGCATTTCATGCTAAAGGTACTGGACCAACACAATATTCTCGCGGTGGTGATGGCCGATCAGTATTACGTTCATCAATACGTGAATATCTTGCATCTGAAGCAATGTTTCACTTAGGTATTGAAACAACACGTGCATTAAGTCTTGTTGGTTCTGTTCTTTTACCAGTTTATCGTGAAACAATTGAAACAGCTGCTATTGTTGTACGTATTGCACCAATTGTTGCATTTATACGTATGGGTACATTTGAATTATTTTCTACTCGTCATCAATTTGAACAAGTTCGACAATTAGCTGATTTTGTTATCAAAAATATGTATGATAAACCTTTATTGAATAGAAATCGTTATAATTTGTTATTAATTGATATTGCACATCGAACAGCAAAACTTGTTGCCTATTGGCAAGCATATGGTTTTACACATGGTGTATTAAATACTGATAATATGAATGTAATTGGATCGACAATTGATTATGGACCATTTGGTTTTGTTGAAACTAAACTTCAAGATTACGTACCAAATCATTCAGATGATGAAGGTCGATATGCATTTGATCGACAACCATCGATAGCTGCATGGAACCTTGCTAAATTACATTTAGCATTTGATTCATTAATTGAATCAACATATCCAATAAATGAACAATATGAATTTTGGTTATATTTTAATCGTACATATGATAATTTAATGCGTCAGAAACTTGGTTTAACATTTTATCTTCAATCTGATAAATGGCTTTATGAAGAAGTTCTTCGTTTATTAGATTTATATCATATTGATTATACTAGATTTTGGAGACAACTTGCTGATGATATTATTCCTAATGAAATACAAAATGAACATTGGTATTACTTATATAAACAAAGATTAGCATTAGAAGGTAGTTACGCTAATAAAATTCGTCGTGAAAAAATGAACCGTATTAATCCGAAATACATTTTAAGAAATTATATGGCTCAAGTAGCAATTGAAAAAGCACAACAAGGTGATTTTAATGAAATTGAACGACTTCTTCATTTACTTCGACATCCATATGATGAACAACCTGACATGAACGATTACGCAAAAGTGTCTCCTGCATGGGCAAAAAAGATTATTATTTCATGTTCATCTTGATCATGTCAGATTTTGTTTTTGTGTAATAATTTATTGTTATTTTCTGTTTTTGTTAATTTAGCTGAATGAATTTCATTAAAGACAAATAAAAAACTGTTTTATTTGAAATGAAAGAATATTACAAAAGTAAAAGAAAGATTAAATCGTTACTCATTTTAGATTTCATACAAATTTTATATTATTTATTGTAACAAAATGAGTATTGAACAAAAAAGAAAATTTTATTTATGAAAAATAATACTTGCCTTTAATCGAGTATCGAATGAATACTTGAACTAAAACACTTATATTTAATAGATCGTAATACGTTCGTGACAGGATAGTTGTACTAGTCAATAGAATAGTTACTAGCGAGATCCCGTGCATACTGCACAGGAACGTTTTTTTCTTTAACGTACGACTTCAAAACTTTAACCTTTCACTCGGTAACAGACATAGAGACACTCGAAATTATGTACATAGAAGCCGTACGGCATGATATGCTTATATCGCCAATATCCCATGTAGCCTTACGGCCTTACATTTCTTGTAGCTCTTCTAGCCTTACGCGCTTATAGTCTAACCCTCTTATAGCATGCCTCTTTTATAGCTTTATCCCTTCATTGCCTAACTGCTTTATAGCCTTACCGCTTAATAGTCTTATCCCTTTATTGACTTTCTTCCTTAAAGTCTTACCTCCTTATAACCTTACTCACTTATTTTTTTTACAACTTTAGTAGACGTCTTCAAGCATTTTTCTAATTTTTATTTTGTTGATTTTAATATGAAATTGTTTACCATATTTCATGGCATATATGAGTTGTGAAGACACATATAATCCTTTCCAGTAGTACTAGAAATCACTAGGTATTGTTCAACTATTTTCACATGTTTTCAGAAAAAAAAATCTAAAAATTCTTTCAGAGAATGTATTTGTTCAAATCAGCAACCAGACTATACGCATCTATGAGTATTTTGTTGATAATGGTGATAACTGAATATTCTTTGAATGATGGTATCATTTTTTTAAGACTCATACGATATGGTTGTTTGTGATATGTGTATAAATAACTAATACTCGGTTTCAAAAACAACAGGAGTCGAATAGTATACCTCGGCCTCTGTAATCTGTAATGTGGTTTTTTTCGATCGTATTCAATTGAATATCTATAACCTACAACTCACAATTATTTCGTCAAATTGACTAATGAAATTATAGAGATTATATAGATTTTTATTTAGGTTATAGAACATGACTTTATAAAACTGAAAGGTTACACCATTAGTCAATGGTTTAATTCACCTTTAAAAATCATTACTTTCCTAGAAATAAAAACGTGTAATAAATATTTCAATTAATTTTGTCTTATATTGCTTTATATGAATACGTTATAAATCATGTAATATCTGATAAGAACAAAATCGGTGCAATTTAAGAAAGAAAAAAACATCCACAAAGCCATGCATACATTGTCAACATCGGTTGTTTCTCTTCATAGTTACGCTGGGTCTCATAATAGTGAAAAGAAATCAACGAAAACATCTGACAGAAAACCTTCTATTATTTACTTTCTTGCATTATTTTATGCATTTTTATCATTGGGATTTGGTGCTGGTCTCGTTGGCCCAACATTACTTAAATTTGGTGAACAAACAAAATCATCATTAGATCGTGTTGTTTATATATTATTTACACGTGCATTAGGTTATTTATGTGGTACTTTAGGTGGTGGAATTCTTATTGATCGTTTTCCATTATTTGGTAAAACATTTTTAACATTTTCAATCTTTATCATGTGTATAACAACACTAATTATTCCATTTATTTATTATCTTATACCAATGATTATTGTTCATTTAGGGTGGAGTGTAGCAGCTGGTGTCATTGATAATTTAGTACACATTTTAGCTATCCATCATTATGAACAAATGAATGTGAATCCATATTTACAAGGACTTCATGGTGCATTTGGTATTGGTGCTTTTTTTGCACCATTAATTATTGCACCATTTCTTCAAAAATCAAGTCCTGTCGATCAATGGCATTATGCATATTGGTTAATTAGTTTTTTACATATACCTAATGTAATATGGATTTTAATCTATGCTATACGTGATGAATTTTGTAAAAAGACAAATCAAGAAATTGTTTGTGAAAATAAAGAATTCATTTCAGAAAATACACAAAATGAAACAAATAATATTAAATCTGATGATAAAGATCAATCGTCTAAAAATTATGCAAGTCTTGCTTTAATTACATTATTTATTCTTTTATATGTTGGTGGTGAATCAGCATTTGGTGCCTATTTACATACATATGCAAGTTTACAATTACATTTTGAAAAAGATACAGCAGCATATCTTAATTCGGTTTTTTGGGCATCCTTTGCATTTAGTCGTCTTTGTGGTGTTCCATTATCATTGAAATTTTCTCCATTACAAATGCTTATTTCAAATTTAATTGGTTGTATTGGTTCAATAACATTATTATTGATTTTAAATAAATCATCATTAGTATTATGGATTGGTTCAATTCTCTTTGGATTGTCTATTGGACCAGTTTATGCATCAATAATCACTTTTACAGAAAAAAAAATATCTTTAACTGGACGAAGAATGTCACTTTTATCTGTTGGTGGCTCAATTGGTGATGCGACTATTCCATTACTGATTGGTTATATAGTTGATCCAAAATTATTAGGACCTATAGGTTTTATTTTTATTTTATTTATTGTTGTTATTTTAGCTTCATTACTCTTTGGATGCACTGTTATATATATTAAATATCAATCAAAACAAAATAAAAATACTAGCGGATAAAATATATTTTTAAAATTAAAAATAAATGGAAAAATTATTGTTTTCTATCAAATAATGAGTTTTAATAATATTCATTTGTCTTTGACTTTAACTTTTATGATGAAGTTTTTCGATATAAGCCGTACGAGATGGATGTGTATCACCATTGGGTCGATTAATTGGTGTCCATACAGGTTCACCAACAAAAAAACGCCTAGCATGAATAAAATTTTGTTTATCAGGTATAAATCGATGATAAATTCCTTGAGAAAGAAAAACAAATAATAAATCATTAACAGATATATATATATATATAAGTTGTTTATTGTTTTCTATTACCAGCTGGTAAAATAATTAAATCACCAGGAAAAACATGAACTCTCACCCATTTATCATCACAATCACGTACATCGAAAAAACCTGAACCTTCGAGTACGAGACGAATCTCTTCATCGGAATGAATATGTTCAGCAAAAAATATTTTTAACTTTTCCTCATATTTTTCCATGGATGGTTCCATTTTGATTTCATCTTCATATGTATATCTATATAACAGATAGTGCAGATAAAATGATGAAAAATTCATTTTGTTTCGATCATTCAGTTACATTTTGAGAAAAACATTTACTAGAGAATTTCTGGTTCTATTGAACTATTGAATTTATTTTTCAAATATGAATGTCTCTTCGATAGTTCGACTACGATTTTCTGCAGAGATCCACTGATTTGTGTATGTTTTTTGCTCATCATGGTTAATCCAAAAAGTAACGAATTTCATATCAATGAATAGAGAATTTTGTGCTATCAGAAAAGGTTTTTCCTCTAAATATTTCCTCAAAAATTTCAGCACTGCGTTCCTAAAAGAGTTGTACAGCTTTTTTTTTGTTTTCTCTAGGTTCTTTTAGTTGAATAATTGATTCATTCGAAAAATACATGCAACAATTACTTAGAACGAGCGAAAAAGTTCTCTATCGAATGACTTTTAAAAAATGATTTTGTTGTATTTAGTCTGTGTCGTCTGTTCAATGAAATTAAGAATATATTGTCAAATACAAAAAATGATTTTAATTGAGTAAACACTCCACATGCTCTAGAATGAATACTGTTTAGAAATGAGTACAAGACTTTCTGATTCCATTTGAAGAAACAGATATATGTTATCAATAGTGAAAATAAAAGAACATTCAAAGAGTATATTTTGCGGAGAAATCTTCTTTCTCCAAAGCAAGACGATTGTGGTTCTTGTACAATTTTTGTAACTTGAGAAAGCGAACATAAAATTTGCGATCGATACCAGTTCCGATCGCCTTGTAATTATCAGCTAAGTTAGGCGTCAAGAATTATGTAGTTATTGAAAGCGTCTTATTCTGTACAGAAAATATTTGTCATCAAAATGTGATCTTAAATGCTGTTTATTAGAAAAAAAAGAATTTATTCGATCAATTACAGAAATTTTTTTTATATAAAAGATTGTTATTTAAACAAGTTTCCTTTATTTTTAACATTGATTTATATTTCTTTAGAATGGAAGATTTTAAGTAAACATTTTTCTTGTGAAGGTTACAATTTTAAATGTTTGTTATATTTGTTTGAATAAACCAATGTAATTTTCATGACGCATGAGAAAAATCTTCAACTGATTCGCGTCAACTTTGAATAGATGTGAAGGATTTCACTCCAAAAATTGGCCTTGAAGAATTTGAGCTTTTATGGCTTCTTGTAAAAGATTTAAATATTTTCACTTTCATACTCCAGAGAGAAATCATATCAATAGAACCCATAGAATTTCGGAGAGAGAGAGAGTTGCTCTAACAGGAAAAATAAACATTGATTTTTGATCGAAATTCTCTAATTCAACCTTATCGAAAAATTCAGTGAAAAGATTGTAGTTTTTCTTCAAAATGTCATGAATAGGTCTTCTTTTAGGGTTTTCTTAGTTTCATTCATGTCTTACTTCTACTGATGATATAAACTTGTAACTTCTGAGAGGGCAGAATGGTTCTCATATGAACTGTACGAACTGTATTGATATAGTTTCTATCTTTATGAAAGAAAGAATTTATTCATATCTATTGAAAGAATCTTCATTAGTCTAAATCCTCTTTGATCTTTTCTCAGAAAAAGATCCCTTATATGAATGCAAAATAATGGATAGCCCAAAAGTTTTAAGACGAAGTATCTGTTTATTTTTGACTACATTGAAGGTGTTTCCAAGAGGTCACAAAGAAATATGAGTTATGAACAGAATTTCGCGTTCTTCCCGAATGTATGCTTATAAATTTTCTTGACGCCAATGAGATGATTTTTGAGAGGTTCGAAAAATAGCTTGAACAGGAAGTTTTTCTGTATACTTTTGTACTTTTACTATTGCAACTCGAAAGTAAACGTTGAAACCTTTATTAATATATCAGCTTGTAGATTAGAACCTACTCTATTAAAATATACTATTGGAGTTTTTCGACAGATTACTTCAATATCCTCATTTTAAAAAAATCAATTATTTAACCCAAAAGACCATTTTGTATAGAAGAAGAGTTCTTGGCATTGAATATTTTTCGTGTCTTTGAGACGGAACTTAAAGGATTAACAAAAGTCTATTGACTCGCCATTCAATCTAATTTCCTGGATTTTTAAGAATTTTATTCAATCATCTCGAATAAAAATATTTATTTCAGTACTAAATTCTAATTTTTACCCTCGATCTTGTTTAAGTTTTACCAATGATGGACACTCATTATTGGCAACAATTTGATCCGGTTGAAAATGCCATACTTCAAGACCTGTGCGATCACATAGTGTAGTTGTATCAATATCTTTTAATAGATGATCATCTTGTGGATCATCGTGTCGATCGTCCATATACCAACATTGTACCTATAAATTAATCGATTAAAATATTCAACTATAAAATAAATTCTACCATGGTATTTTCTTTTCTTTTTATTGAAATCTAAAATGCAAAAGGCAAATCAACCTAATCATATCACCTATTACAAATCAAATCAATTAAGGAGAAAGAAAAGAAAAGAAAGAATGAATTTATGAATCTATAATTTGGATTTCATTGTCTTAGTTGTATTTAGTGCAATTAATGTTCGAATATCTGTAAGACTACGATCGAAATGATTTGAAAGTTCTTTGACATTAGTTCCTTCATTATTTATTGTAAAAGCTGTTATCATATAATTTATTGAATCACGACGTGGATTATAACAACAACCATCTAAAATATTGAATTAGAATCAAAAAAAAGAAAATTAAGTAAAATAATAACTTACATCCATCATTGACAGCTGGACCATAAATCATTACACAATCATGTTTTGCAGCAACCTATAATTTTCTATACGAAATTTTTTTAAACAGAAAAAATTCATCTTACTTGACTTGTTGAAAGATTAAAATGCATTGCACGTTTATAACTAATATGATCATATAATGCAGGTTTTGGTAATTTATTTTCCATTGCAATTAATCGTAATCCTAATAAATGTCGATCGACACCTTTAGCATTGATTGCCTACATTAAATTTAAAAATATAACAATATATATTCAATAATATTTTTGATGTATAGATAATTTTACATCATTTGTATATTGTCGATGTGCTTGCATAGCATTCAGAAATAGATCATATTTAGTATCATTTGCTGTTTCATTATGTTTTTCAGACATAGTACGAGCAAATAATTGGGCTTGTAATGTACATGAACGAATAGTTTCTGTTCGACCAAGATGATAACGACGTAAAGAACCACTTTCATAGGTAGTACCACATTTACCATGCATTCTAAAAGTTATTAAAAAAATTGTACCAATAGCATTTGAACTATATTAGATGCACATGTCACCTGTTATCTACCAACAAATCATTATAATGAAAGAGGAATATAAGACAAGGAATTCATATCTTGTGCATGTAAAGAGTTTAAGCTGCTAGTTTAGTGTCACCGAGATACTATATTTTTAGGGTATTCTTTGGTAGAATGGTATAGTTCCATTCAGAAACCATCGCGAAACAGCGTTTTGAATTTCGATCTGAAACTTTACACAGAGATCGACGTCGGCAAGATTTATTTTTTGTGAAAATTACATATTATACAATTGTTTCTAAGATAAGATATGCCTACGTAAACAAAGCATGTTTTTTCATATAAGTGATATTCATCAGCAGATTTTGATGTTCTTATTTTAGAATAGAAATAATCAAAACGTCTAATTCTTTCATTAAGGTTTATCTCTATGGAAAATTCTAAGTCGAAAGTCTAAAATCAGTTTTTTCTAATGTTCTTGCAGGTGAGAAAGTTTTTTTTGCAAAAAGAATATCACCAAAATGTAATACCTCAACAGCAATAAGCTAAGGTTTTATGCAATTCTTTTGGCACGAAATATTCAGTTATTTTCGACTACTTGAAGACAACTGGTTAGAACTAAAAAAAAAGTTTGTTGCAATCACATTTTTTGCTCTTTCCGAATGCATCGGTTTTGTAGAGCCGAGTTTCTCCGACAAAGCGTCCTATTTACATTTCTATGACAGATTTTAAAACTTCTTGTATTTTGTCACTGTGATTTTTCGATCAATCCGATTTACATATACTTTTAGTAGCTGAAAAATGAGTGAAAGAGTATTTATAATGAAATTTTCTAAATCTAGTGAATTTTCAAAGAACTATCGAAGAGATACTAATGAATTAATTTTTGAGTCTTTATTATGCTATGTTTTTCTCATTTCAAGATGATTCAGAAGCACTATGAAACTTTTCAATCTATTTTAATACTGACCGAAAATAAGCAACTTGTAATGCCACTTGTATAATAGCATCTAAAATAAAGATAATTTGTATATGTTCAAAATTCATTATCTTTTTTTCTTCTACCTATGCTTAATTTATTTTGTTTAGCAAAATCTTTACCATATTCAGGATATTTATGAACAATTAAATCACAATTTTCAATAAATCTATAAATAAAAAAACCGATATTAAAAAATTTTATTATTTTTATTCATACTTATTAACACGTTTTTCACTTTCAATTATCGATTGTTCGACTTCTTTAGGTATAACTATACGACATTTACTTAATAATGATGGTTCATTAGTATGAACAAGTGGTTCTGCTGTTTTACTATACAACAAAGAAAAAACCCAAATGTTAATCATATGAATTAATTTCATTAAATAAAATTTACCAATAATCCAAAGCATAATCAACAAGGGTTGTAATTATTCCACCTTCAGCCAATGAATGTTCATAATTAAGACCACTATAACCGTTAGGTCCTACAATAATCTTAAAAACAAAAATTTTTTTTCTTAAATATAACCGAAGATTAGTTTTATTTTACTTGAATTGTCTTGTCAAACCAACGATTGGCTGTATTATTTTTGGTTCCACCACCATGTAGAAAATTTAAACCAACTGATCTTTTATTATCTTCTTTTATTATATTATCATTTGATGATTGATAACTTTCATCAAGACATAATACAAATAAACTATCATTAATTATATCAAAGAAATTTTTATTTTCTGGTACTTAAAATACAAAAAATTATTTTATTGTATTTTATTCGAACAAAAAAAAAAATCTTTTACTTGATGATAATTGTTCATAAATAGGTGCCCAAAGTTGTCGTTCATCAGCTGTTAAATGACCAATTAATGTTTGTTTTTCATCAGATTCTTTTAAATCAGCAAGCTTTTTTAAATAATTATAGATAACAACAGCTGATAATTTGTTTCCTTGATCATCATATACTGGTAGTCGATAGACCTTTAAAAAACAAATCATAAATGAAAAAAACTAATCCTTGTGAACTGAAAAATGTCTGTTTCAAGGGACATTGCAGTAAGAGTAGCCACTTCGAATGATTCTTTCATGATATCATGAACTAAATCATCAGATGATCCTTTTATTCTTCATAATATTGATTTCGCGACACTTAGTTTGAATCATAGGGTAATATTATAATGCAATAGAAAATTCACACATGTTAAAGAATTGCAAATATTTTATTGAATTGGTTCAAAAACACGATATATTCATATTGTTCAGATCGGATGTTTCTTCTCAGAGACAAACTGTATCTTTAGGAGAGAAAAGGTTTATTTTTTTTAACTATCATATGATCATACTCTGTGTTTAACATTTCTATTTTTTCTCGTCATCTAAAAGTATCACCCTTCTCTTTTGAAGGCAAAACAAAAGAAAAAAAATATTTTGAAATATTTACATTATTTCGATAAAATACTGCAACATGACGATGACCATTTTTATTATATAAATGAAGTCGATCAATAGTTTTTGCCGGAATACGACATATGCCAAGAACTTTTTTATATTGATCCATACAAAGAGGATCTGAACCAAAACGATCAATTGGTATTTGATTGCTAGAAAAAAATTGATCATATTTTTTATATCAAACTACAAAATATATAGTTCCAACGAAAGAATTTTTTCAAATGAGGTTTTTCTTGTGGAAGAACAATTGACAAGATTGATAGATATTCAACTGCAATCTCCTATTATTTTCTATAGATATTTAGCATCCACAAATAAAGAATATCATGCTCTATATTTTTGAAGTTCTTTTCAAAGAACGAAAACCTTAGAGCTAACATCTGATGTTATTTGTTTTGGATTCACTTTCGAAATTCTCATGATCACAAGTCAGAAAATTGGTTTGAAAATACTTCTCAACAAAAACAACCTATTATCAAACAAGCTCTGTTTGAATTGTGTTTTGAATCTTTAGAAAAAGAAAATAAAACATTCGCAAAATAACAATTTAATATTATGAAAGAATACAATTTTTATATTACTTATCAATTAATGATCGGTAAAGTAGAACACCATGAATAAAATTGGCAGCAAATTGAATTTGTCCATTAAAATCTCTATATGATTGTCGAGGAAATACTAAAGCTGGATTATAATAAATAGGTAAATTCAAACGCCATTCAAGATATGTTTTATCGAGCCACCATTGTGATAACTATATTTTATATAAAGAATATATTTTTAAATTTGTTATTTTTTTTTTACCCAATTTTCTTCTGTTTGTGCTCGTTTTAATAATAATTCTTGTAATGGTTCGCTTTCTTGTTGAAATTGTTCAACAATCTTAATCAAAATTCAATCATTTATCCATAATCATATTTATATTAACAAACTTTTTTTGTTTCACTAAATTCATCATTACTAAGTAATGGTGCAACTGTTTTTAAATATTTCCGTGCTGTTTCAGCTAATGTTGGTACCGGTAATCTGATACAGAGCAATAAAAAAAAAAAGAAAAAAAAAACATGTAATATAAAAATACACGATGTATCATATTCAACCTAGGTAGATTATTTTCCTCTGTAGAACAGGTTGATGTCATATGCACCATACTTTGCAATGTTATTGTCGACGGGCGAAGAAATAGAACAGAATGGAATGAAGATAAATATGGTCTTTGATAAAGATCAAAGGGCACCTATGCTTTAACACGTTATATTAATTTATGAAACAAAACAAAAACCAATATTTTACGTTTCTAGTTTTCAATAATGTAGAATAAGTTCGACGCAGGACTAAACTCATTTTAAAAAAAACATCGATTATCTAAAGATGTATACAAAACAAAACAACAAAAAAATTCACAATAAATAAAATAAAAAAAAAAATTCAAATTCGATGATTGCACAGTAGTAAAAAGAACAAAAACCAAAAATTAATTTTTTATATTTATATGTGATATATCTTTTGGATTTTTTAATGCAAATGATAAACATAATTGTCGATCTCGTAAATCAGACCATCCACCATTAGTTTGTTTAAGTGGACGTCTTGCTTCATATTTAGCATGTACCGTAAGAGGATTTGTCGGAAATAAATACTTTCGATTAAGTTGATAGAATTTATCAGTTTCTTCCCATCGAGCTATATCCGATTGATTTGAACAAGTTTTTTTATGATGAGTACCACTACAAAAAAAAAAGAAAAAACAAAATAATTTCATATAAAATTTTTTTTTTGTTTTATTAGTTTACCATGAACCAAGATGAATAACTCGTGCAGAACTTGACCACATAACACGAGGATAATTAAAACGTTTTTGTGCTAAATAAACAAGAGACCAATCCCAATTATAATCATCAACATTACAAAATTCTTCAGCATATTGTACAATTGAAAGCCATAAAGAATATGAGACTGTCATACCAAGATTATATCTAGCATGCCAATATGCAATAGATACCTATGAATAGTTTATAAATTTTCATTAGACTATTTTTTTTTGTTATCTTACTTTTGATCCAAGGTTGTTAAATTGTCGACCTGTTTTTTCCAGATTACCCAATGTATATATTAAACATTCAGGACAAAGACTTTAAAATAAAATAATAGAATTTCAAGAAAAAAAAAAACTAATAATCTATTTTGTAATCTACCGTTGTTTTTCATCTTCCATTTTTTTTAAGAAATAAAGTGCATCAGGTGATAAATAAAAATCTTCTTCAAGTAAAAGTACTAAAAGGTCTGAACGATTTTGTAAAACATTAATAGAATTAAATACAAAATTGAGCTAAAAATATATAGAAGAAAAAGAGAGAACTATGAAATTCTTTTAAATAGATTCAGAGTATGAAAAAGTTATTTTGATAATTAAAAAAACAATAAACTAATAATAATGCAAATGATAAAAATAATACAATTTGCAATCGGTTTGAATATTTGAAAAATATAAAACAATAAATAAAAGAAAGGCAATTTTAATGTCAAGATGTTGATTATAGTAATTGACCTTCATACATAGTAAAGAAAAGATGTCTTAGGTACCAATCAATTTGAAAACGACTGAGAAATCAAATATTGAAAAACAAAGTGCTGGTCTTCAACAGATTGAGTAGTTATAGACATAGATCAATATAGTTATTCTATGACAAGTACACCCTACGCATTTGTCAGACGATTAGAGTTCATCAGATCCAGTTCGGGTTCAACTCAACAGGTTTTATAGGCCAAATGGTATGAATCACGACAGAACAAGATTGAACCCCAAGAAAGGTGTGGGTGTGGGTGTCTTTTTCTATTTTTAAGATAAATTTTGTTGTTAAGAATCAGTAAACCAATTCTATAACATTCTGTTAAATAAAATATCGAAACAATTTTCGGATAATATTTTATAGATTAAGTTGATATAGTATCTAATCTGTGTCCAAAATAGTTACACAATATGAACGCTATAAAAATTTTTCAAAAATTAAATATATTTTTCTTTCATTTTCTGAAACTTTAATGTTTTTTTGAAAAGATTGGGATAACTAGTTAGCTGCATTGTTCGACACATGTCCACAAATTATCCTGTTCAAAACCTCAATACCCGTTACTAATGACTCCGTGTCTCGGATTGTCAGTCCAATAACATGATAACTGCATTGTGGCATGCACCTGTTTCTATGGCCAGTATGTAGTTGGTTAGTGTGCATAGGAAGCTTAAGCAATTGAACACAAGAACTGTGTTTCACTCAGACCGTCAGTCCAATGTTATAACTACTATCAGTTGTAAGGAAAACATCGAACTATAGAATCTTTCATTAGGTAGCACTTCATGCGACAAGGTAGCCAAAAGACAGGATTAATATCCTTGAACAATTTTTAGTTCATAATTAAAATAGTACAAACAAAAGAAGAAAAGATATTTGTCAGTTTTTAGTTATTATTATTTAGTATATTTTCTACATTCTTTCTTTATCTAGCAAATACTCACTCTTCTATTTCTCGTTTCAATTCAAAATTCTAAAAATAACTCAAACGAATGATATTCAAATTCATTAATAAAAATATCAATTGATAAAATAAAACAAAGATAAAAAGAAAAGTAAAATAAACAATATCTGCAACTTACTTTCCACCACCAATGATGTTTTATTTGTACAATAGAAACTTCTCTATAATGTCCATATTTATCTGGATATGGTGCATTTTTACATCGAGTAGCTAAAGCTCTAAAATGACAAAATTATTTTAAAATGATGTCAATGACATAGGAAACGTTAGTGTGAATAAAACATAAAGACATTTTATGCGTCTTCTAGTTATTCAATTCAAATTAAAAAGATGAAGACACACATAGAGAAATTTCAAATCTTATCTCTTTGTTATGTTTGTTATTATATTCATTTTAATCACTAGATTATTCTTAACCCACCTTTGTCTTTCAGCAGATTTTTTTGAAAGTCTGTAAGAATTTTTAGATGAAAAAACAACGAAAATATTCACTAATACAAATAAATAATATATTTACCTATGTTTAGCTATATCACGTGGACAATCATTGGGATCAAGACCAGGAAATTCATCAGGATAAAGTTGTTGAGAAAATGGATAAAAAATTTGAATCACCTATATTAGTAATTGAATTATATTTCCGGAAAAAAATTTGATTCTAAGAAAAACACACAATCCAACTTTAACTTTCAGTTCACATTTCATGAAAAATTAACTAGTTGAATAATTTATAAAAGATCTACATTTCAAATTGGAATAATTTTTTTTCTATGAAAAAGATTTATAGTTTTTTTTTTTATGTTATATTTGTTCTGTTTCTTTTTTGTTTTTAATCTTCAATTATGTATTTAAATACGAATAAGTGGATTCATTCGATCATGCAATAAGCGATATTTATCCAAATATTGATCTTTCTCTCGGCTTGACACGATCGTAACAAACATTGGAGGTTTTTTCTTTCTTGTTCTGAGGAGCTTATCAACTGTCTTTTTATTTTGAAGTATTTACAATAATTCATGTCTTCTGTACAAAATTTATGCGAATAAAGTCCATATCTTCTACTAAACAGTAATAGATTGCCAATAAAGATATGTTATATGGGTTTCTATGAAGTGGGAAAAAATATTAGATCGTATCAAGCTGAAGAAGTTTTGTGAGAAAGATAATGATGAGTTAGAAGCAATATTAGACAGCTGAATATTATGCCCTGCATAGGTTTAGATATCATTGTCTGATATACATAAAATTTATCATGAATTTCTATTATCCAAAGGAGAAAAAGCAAGCATTCCATACTTCAGTATACTTTGAGGATATATCAAAGCTGTCGTCACGTTGACACTAGACTTGAAATAGCTAATTAGTTCTGGGAAAAAGCTTTGGTATGTTCGTGAGATACGATGAAGTACAGAATTTTGACTCGTTTTTTTCACGTGCATCTTACCGGAACAAATTTAATATTTGTTATAAGTATATTTATTTGTGGATCAATAAAATCATGACTAAATATGAGTAATGTTTGATTTATTGTTTGAACGGCTTTTAACATTTCAATAAATTTTTTTAAATAAACAACACGTGTATGTACTTGTACAAGTAAAATATATCGTGTTGTATTTGATGAAAATAAATAATCATTATACATTAATTGTTCATGATTTTTTCTTTGAACATATTGACGATAATATTCAATAGTTGTTCGATTAATAATAATTGTTGTATTAATAGATTGAAATTGATATGTTGTTAAATTTAATAGTGTTTGTTTTTTTTCTTTATTTAATTTACTATCATCAAATGGTAAAGCTAATGAACTACTATCAATTGATTGTTGTTGTAAATCATAATAAATTATTATTGTTAATTTCATCATTATTATTATAAATAACCAAAAAATAATATGACGAAATATAATACAACGATAACGTATAAAACGAAACATGATTATTATTATAAAAATACCAGTTCATTAAACTTTAAAATAATTTTTTTTTTCTTCAAGAAAATATTTCGATATGTTAGAAGTTTGATAAAAATTGAATGAACATTACTTATTAATGTATATTTGATTATTTCCAACTAATCATTTTTGATTTATGTAATGAATGCAATGATTGACAGCATACATATATAAAAGAGTTTTAAGTAAATCTTTATCAATAAAGTATAATCATTTAATAATTCATTTAAATTGAGTGAGATGACTTATGAATGGCATCTATTAATAAGAAGAAAATACTTCCAAAAAAGTCTACATATATAAAGTTTTGATTTTATGTAAAGCATAAGATATAAGAACTGTTTGAAAATACTTTTTCTTGTTCTATTAACGCAACGCTTTTCGTCGCCAGACAAAACACAACAAAAAGCAAATATGAAATTAATCTACAGAATCACGTTCTCCTCTCGGTTCCTTCATTATTATAGGTATATTGTAAAATATACGCAACCACTGCTCTATTGAAACGAAAGAAAAAGACGTAATGACAAAAAAGAAAAAAAAAGAACAAAAGAATAATAGTGTATAAGACTGATTTCTCCAGAGTAGTGTTGCAAGTTAAAATCAACTTTTTTTTTCATTTTCCTTTCAGACAATAAAAGACAGCAGGAATTAAGCTGTATGTAATAATCAAGAGAAAGAAGAGAAGTCATAAAAATCTTTCTGATTACTATCGATTTCAAATATAAATAAAAAAACATACTTAATTTGGTTTATTCAATTAAGAAGACCAACTGTTGAATATTTGCTAAACTATTTATGAAGACATGCAAATATTTTCGATTGATTTGCATCCAAATTTCTATATCAAAAAAAGGGGCAAAGAACCTGTTTATTTCGTTTTAATATTTGACGCAAACCAAAGCTACTGATCTTAATTAATGAAAAACGAATGGTAGAAATTTTTAGCAATGAACAGATAAAAATAAAACATAGATGTCCGTAGACAACGCTTCCATGTAATATCTCACTATGATTTAGAATGAATGACAGATAGAGTGATTTCCTTTCAAATGATTGATATACGGTCGCCTTCAGCTGGAAAACTGCGAACCTACTTTTTTCCAACCAGAAAAACAGAGTCTTTACGGCGAAGTCTGATCAAAAGTTTTCACGAATCTGTTGATTCTTCGTTCAGATGTCAGACTATTTTTTCTGCCAGCAAACGGTCCTGAGTTCTCGCAATATTTTCACTGACTTGTAGGAAAACGGAAAACGAACACATATTTATGCTGATTTTTTTCTGAAAATTACTAAGTTAAATTTCATTTTTCGAAACTCTCAATGTTTATTAGTTTTGAAAAAGCAATTTCTGCGAAAGAAAAACAATAAAGAGAATGAGAAAATTTATGACCGTTAATCAGTTATATAATCTTCTGTTTGATAAAGAATCATATTCCGTTGAAAGTTTGTAATTACAAAAGTTAGGGGGTGCCTAGTTACACATAAAAACAAACGTCAGCTGTCTATCTCGTTCTTAGTGAGAGCTAGGGCAATTTCAATATACTTATAAAATCAAATTTTCGATTAGTGTAATAACTCTAATGATTCTTTTTTTTTGATTTTTTTCATTTCCTAATCTCAATACATTTATTCTAAAAATCCTCGATAAAGCTGAGAAGTTTGATGAAGAGGCTAAACTTTGATAAAATCTTTTTCAGCGGAAAGTATTTTTTCGTTAGTGAAAGCTATTTTTTGAAAAAAAAAAGTGAGCTTTCAAACAAAAAACAAACACTTACGTTAATCTCATTCTGTAATAGAATACCAGTGGAGACGTATCATCGGCAAAAATTGTTATGAAGTGTGCAAAGAAATCTCTAATCATGTCTTTTCGAAAAAAGTGATCTTTTGACAACGCTAGATTTTTTCAAGGATCTTAACTATACTTTTAGTTACTTTTGACTTTTATTTCCATCTAGTCATGAGAAATATGCATCGTTTAGTGTTGGTACAGTCATAGATTGATCTCTCTGACTTTAAATTATGCAACACTTGAGCAGGGTGGGATGTGGGTGTGGATTTATGTGACCGTAGGTTTTCTTTTCCATCGCCCAGATATCACTCACCCACACCCGAATGAAACATGTAGGTGTGAGTGTCGGTGTGTGG